AAGTTGGCATACGGGTCGCTGTGGGTGTGTTCAGCGCTCCAAAGCTCGATGCCTCAATTTCGTCGGCTAGGGTCTTTCCGCGCGAGTCCTGAATGGACGAGCACCAAAGGGGGTCGTGTGCGTTGATGTCGCCCAGTATCAGGGAGCATCTAGTCTCGAGGAAAGGGGTCAACGAGGGGGTGAAGTTCGAGGGGCAGCTACTGCTGGGGGGGGGGGATGTACACGTTTCTTATTGTGAGCACCTCGTTTAGGAGTGGGATTTGAATCGATTGGTGTTCGAGGGGCTCGCCAGGAGGTGTGTTCTCGTCCACAGGGGTGAACGGGATTGTTTGGTGCACGAGAAACATAAGTCCTCCGCCGGCTCCGCTTCCTCGGTCTTTTCGGACTACAGTGTAGTCTTCAAAGACTGGGTCTTAAACCCGGCCGAGGGTCCCACGCATGGGCGCCCGGTGAGAGGAGTTTGACGTTGGTCTGCTGGTAGCAGAGGTCGGGTCGTCGCTCCCGATCCAGAGAGTTTGCAACCGGAGTCCTCGTGGTCCTCTGGTTGTTGGTCCCACCGCAAAAAGGCTCTCTCCTTCCGGGACCTGTAGCCGGACCGAAGTCGAGAACTTTTACACCCGGTTTTATTAGAAATTAGTTCGCAAAAAAGTCCTATATTAACTTTAAATTGACAACAAGTCAGTTTAGTTTTTTACAATGATCCAAACTGAAAAGCAAATTTTTTACTGCGTGCACTATCAAAGTTTCAAAAAAGTGTTGTTACAAAAGTTAAAATAAAATTTAGTAGATAAAAATGAATACTGAATTATTGAAGTGGCTGTGAAAAAAATCTTAACATATTCAATCAATCGGGCATAAGTAATTTCGTCAAATTTAACCGTGGTTAAAGATATCAACGATCACTGAAAGATCATCACTTTTAATTCAAACACTTCAACCAGATTTTTTCAATAATAAATTTTAAATTGTCGTGCATTAACGTTTTTTCGAAAACATCAATTTGCAAAACTTAAGAAAAAATGAAAATCAGAAAAACAGTAATGTTCCTTTACGCTTTACAGGTACCCGCACTCAGTAAAAAGAGAAAATAATAGATAAGAATGGACTTTTATTGCAAGTCTTCATAAATTTCCAGAAGAATCGATTATAATTGATTAAAAATGGATTATAATGTTACTATCTTTCGAAACAAAAAACAAACATCATAATTGATAATAATCGATTATAATCAAATGTTCTTCAGAAATATAATTCAATTTAGCCGATAATAGTCCATTTTAAACGTTTAGAATCCATTATTTTTCAACAAAAGTCATCGCTTGATTTTGCTTTGAATTAATACGTTCTGTGTAATTTTAGCTAGTATCAATTTCTTTTCCATTTTTTTCTACTCGATTTTTTAAATCTATTTTTCGAAAAAAGAACCTTCGAATAGTGCGACCTCAAAAAAATGCTTCAAAATGCAGAAGCATGATAATAAAAGTCTTTGCATTAGTATTAACTAGATTGAGTCAATGTCTGTGTCCAGGGTAGCGGCCATTTAGCCGATGGAATTAAGGCCGAAAATAAACATAATAAGTCAGGCCGAAATTAATAAACTCTTTCTTTGGGTTCCTTTACTCTGGGATATCTTTTTGAATAATTATACCTGTGTTGTGATTGTGTTGGGATATTTCATTACTGCCTCTGGGATACTTTTACTGGGATACCTTTTGGGTACCTTTTTCTTGGGCCTTTTACTGGGGCCTTGCAGCTGCTCGGGAATTTTAATTCGGTTTCAATGGTCCGGAGTGGCCGTTTCTACGGTAAATGGTGTCCACGAACTAAGAAGACTTTTTAAAATCACTTTTACTTTTTTAGTTTACTGGGAGGATTGAACTATGCATCCTATAAAATTTTTAAAAAGTCTGTATTGTTTATTGAAACCATTTACCATTTTTACTTCCACTCCCAACTGTAAAGTTTTTTGATCTATACCAAGTTCCAGCGCGGCCTCCAGAGAATCTATTTTAGCATGACAAATATTTTCAAAATTAAAATTCCGGAAGTTTTTGTTCGGGCGACGTAATTGTTTTCATAAACTCCAATCTGGAGGGGGGGTTGGAAGGGGTTGGGGTGTTCTGTTGGGAGAGGGGTGTTGTGTTGGGAGTGGTGGGGGGGGGGGGGAGCGTGGACGGTTGGTGGCTTGATTCAACCTGGAAGGGTTAACATTTCCAATCTGGGGGGGGGGGGGGTTCTGATTGTGTTAAGAGCGGGGGGGGGGGGGCGTGGACAGTTGGTTTTTATAAACTCTTCAAACTATTATTTTTTGAGTCTGTTAAACAGACTATGACAAGGTCGAGTTTTGAGCGTCTGCTTTGCTTTTTTAATAATTAGCAAAACAAAATCTAGCCAACAGAGAGTTTGAAAAGATGAACACTAAGAATTTTCACTACCTTCATTGACTCTTAACTAGCTGGTATCACTATACGAATCACTATACGGAAAAAAGGAATCACTATACGGAAAATAAATCGATGAAACAAGCCAAAACCTTCCAAACCTAGTTTCGTTTTTAAATGGAGTAAAACACGGCATTTAAATCGAAAGAACAAGCCAAAATTGTAACGTGAAGTCTGCAAAAACTTAGAACACAGTCACTTGCAGCACTATGGTTTTAGATGTGGTATTATTGAAAATTTAAAGAAGCTATCAAGAGAAGTGCCTGCTGAAAAACTAAGCCAAAAAACTAAGCTTTTAAGAAGCTAACATTTAAAGATAAATTTTTTAATTGTTCGGAACATTTTAAGATATTATCAATAAATTTTTTTCTATTATCTTGAACTTAAAAAATAATGTTATGAAAACTATATAAAATTTTGTTATAATTAAAATACAACCAATAACCGATAACTAAAAAATACGTCCAAACGAAATAATAAATTAAAGAACCATCTAGTTCTTTTTTTCTTTACTAACAAAAACTTTTCAAGGTTATTTAGCCAGAATAAAAAATGCATTTTTAATGCTCAAAATTGGGTCTAAAAAACTGGAAAAAAAAGAAAAAACAAAAAATATTTTTTGAAAAACGACTTAGAGTGACCTTATACGAGAAAAAAGTCTCAAATTTTTTGAGCAATTACACAGTTTTTTCGAATGAAAATGTTTTGATCTGTTATCAGTTAAAATTTCACACACCCGAATTTATTCCTAACCTTGATATCAGATCGAAGCATTGATCAAGCTCTTGAAAGAACAAAGAATTCTAAAAAACGGTCGAAAACTCATAAATTGGTTTTCCGAAACCATAGTTTTTTGTTTAAAAAATTTTACGCAAGGGAGCTTCACATAACTTGTTTATTCAACTGAATTTAAAATTTTTGAGAAAAGTAAAAAGTTGGTTCAAAAAAAGGTCAGTAAATCATATTTGTGCTTATTCTGAGGACGATAACTTTCTACTTTTTTGTTGTATCCACTAATGCAGGGGAGCTTCCATAGCTCGCCTCTTTCATGAAATCTTGAAACTCAGATCTGGGAGGGTAGTTTTCGACAGACAATTTGAACCAAAAAGGCTATCAATATCTTTTATGAAAATTTACGAAATAACATATCCTTGTAGTCACTGATTATCATTATTTTTCCAAGCTTAATATTTTGTTTTGCAAATAACTTCATTTGAGAAAAATAGATAGAAAAATCTTCTGTTGTTTCACTAAAAATCTTAGCACAGAGGCACGAAATAAGCCTGGGATTAGTAAAAAAAAATCTGCCACGCAACTGATTCAAACCTGCGACCCGGAGATTGAAAACCTTACTCCCTAACCTCTCAGCCTCCGATGCTTAATAATTGGCAAACACTAGCCACAATTAAAGCAGACAACAGATGCTATGAAATTTCTAATGCTATGGATCATGATTGCAACGAAAGAGCCACCAAATGAAGACTTTTATTTGCGAGCTGGATTCGAAAAAAAGGTTCATACTTACACACGCTTGCAAGCTCGAAAGTATAAAAAAGCACTGTCGAAACTTAAAGTCCATAGTTTTTCGTGCAATTTCATTTTTTTTGTGTTCAAAGCTTATTTTACTTTGCTTTTCGCGAAAGATTCGACGCGAACATAGAAAGAAATCAAACTTAAACAGTGAACAGTCAACTTGAGGCATAATAAATTTAACACAAGAAAAAGCTGACGACCTGAAAAGTGTCTCCCTTCGTTCATTGACAGGTGGGCAACTTGAGGTAAGCAACTCCCCAGTCACTGAAACTCTGAGTCACTTTTTCAGCTTCTTCCAGCTCCCATTTTTTTCGCACAACTAGGCTTAGCCATGGTTTTCTTGATCTTTGCACTGTGCTCCAAAATTAGATCATCCTAACAAAATCTTCTCTCACCGCAAAAAGTTGCCTTCGAAGTTGTAAAACGAATAAATCAAATGTTTTCTTGTATAAACCATTATTCATCTAAACGCTCTATAAAATTTCACACAATAAGGCGGAAGAGTCTATTGCAAGAGAAAGAACACATCAACTTAGGCATTATTAGACAAGTTCAACTTTGTGAAGAAATAAATCAATCGCAATCGTTTCTTGTATCATACCTTTTTTTTGAAGGTAAATCTCTTGAATGCACTTTTGTTTCATTATCTTCTACTGTAACTTGAACTTGGTTCTTGGATGGTTATTAGTGTGATACAGGGGTCCCTGCTTAAAAAAGCAGAAACCAGAGAAGAGTACCTCTTTGTCCCGCAAAATATTACTGAACTAAAGGACTGAGTAGACTTTTCATTTCAGTCACTCCGTTTTATAGCTTGCCAAAAAACAATGACTTTACTTGATATCTTCATCACCTTTTTACGAAAAAAAAAATCAGTAACTGAAAAGAATACATTACCTAATTTTGACAGAAAAACAAATAACTAACGAAAAAAACTAGTAATTCAAAAGATTGGCAGAAAAAAGACAGAAATAAAAAAATGAAGAAAAACTTTAAACACATTTCGTGAGTAGTATTTTTACTTCAAAAGAATGTTCTGCAATATTAGACTTGTTTGCAATTAGGGATCCATCAAAATTTAGGAACCCCTCGATCACACTTGTACCCTTCGATGATAAATTAAAGTATGCTCAGTGATTGATTGGATTGGATAAGATTAGAACATTAAGTCAGCTATACTGCAGTTTGACCCAACATAAGGAAAAACTAGATTATTTTTAGCGAGAAGTATGGACTATTAACATATAGATCTATCTATTACATAAATGACAGAAATAGAAATAAACAAAGTGCTTTAAAACTGAGAAACAACATGTAAAATTGCAGGAATTTGATCAGAAACAGAGCAAAAGAACGGCTAAGTCGGCACCAAACAGGAACGATATTTGACATAGTGTAATAGCTTCTATATCAATATTTGTGGATATTTTGTAATCAATTTATCTTCTTATTCTTTAAGTTATTTACAACGATGTCAATATAAAGCAAAATGAATTTACAAAAATATTTGCCGACAATTATCAGTTTGACAGCAAAACATAGTTTAATGACTGCAGCTCCGCATTTTCTTAAAATTGTCTTTTTCTCCACTTTCTCTCTCTAAATGCCAGGATTGTTTCCAGTAAAAAGTAACGGTGGACATCTTTCGATGGTACGCACTGCTGTAACGCTGGTACGTTCTCGTTGTTGTTGTTGTAACTCGCCCTTAACTGATGTTCTCTTCCAGATCGTTTTTTTGTTTTCATATGTTTTCAAGTAAGCTCCCATGTGTTCTCGTAGCTGTCGTCACTTTCTATTGTTGTCCGGTTTACTTGTTTTCGTGTCATGTGTCATCGTTGTTGTCGTGTCTCTCTTAGGCGAAGTACATGACCTTCTGGGTGTCCTGGTGTACTGTGACACACTTGGACATGGAGATGAGACTCTGCTCTTCCCCGTGTGTAGATGAATGACTCCCGTTGCCACTAAAACAATCACCATACTCAGGGCAGAATTCGACCCCTGATCACCGAGGGGGTCCCCCAAGCAACCCTTAAAATATTTCTTAAAGTCGCCTTTGGCGACAATATATACTTATTTTGAGACAAAAAAACGCGATGAAATAACGTGATTTTTTGGTGATCACCACTCGTTTTGATCACCACGCGTTCCAAAAAATGCCTGGTGCGCAAACAATTTTCGAGTAAAAAAGGGTTTTAATAAAGCTTGCGGGAGAGGTCGGGAAAACAATTTGAAATGCCATACAACTATTCATTCGCTAGAATTGTATGAAAATTTTAGAAGGAGTTTCTCAACATGTTATTTTGATCTCATAAGTTATTTCTTGAAAACAAAAGCAAATAATGCCTCTAAGAGTGATGTAGTTCTGTTACCTGTCGTGGTCTTTGTCGATGAGGTGGTATCTGGCTCTGAAGGCCACCAGATGGGCGTAGTAGGCGGGGGCTGGGATGGAGACACTCCTAGTGCATCTGACATAGGTGTGACACAGTTGGTAGGTGAGGGTCTGGATGTCATCTGAGACGAAGTTGTTGTCATCCCACAACACGTGGTAGTGCGAGGGACGCGACGTGCCTGCAACCACAAACATCAAACATACCTGTTACTAATTCCAAAATTGAACATAACTTTTTGATTGCCCATGCCATGCCGTATTTAAAACAGTTCCGATTAACAAATAAAGCAACCTAAATTTTAAAACTTCAGATCTGGGTCCAATGAAACTATTCATTTTCATTTCTTAGGTAAAACATTGATATATTAAATAAAATCGGAGAAGTGATTCAAAAAAGTGAATTGGAAGACGAAGAATATGAATTTGTGCCACTGACCCTGTATGCCTGCGTGTGAGCAGAGGTAGAAGTCGTACTCGGTGGGGTGTGTGATGACACTGTCCACTGTAGTCCCAGCTGGGATGTTGCCACTCTTCCCTATCTGCTCTACACACAGAGACAGAAACAACATAACTTACTTATAACTTGAACACTTTCTCCACATATGAACCTTTTACACAGGGTCGATCAAGTTCGATATCTCGTGATTTCTAAATTAGACCATACCTATATTACAATGAATTAGAAAATTGCATTTGAGAACAAATAATTATTGTTAAATCGCAAAAAAAGCAAAAAAAATTCTTTCAAATTGTACTCAGGAATGATCTATCTTTGTAGAGTAGGAAAAATGGGGTAACTCTGTAGCATGGCCCTTAAAACAGTTCCAATAACAAGGATAACAGTTCGTATATTGGCCTTATTAGAACATAAATAGATTACTTTACTTATCGAACTCTGTCTTCAGTTTTAAATTAATACCTAAAACCTCATTAGAATATTTTGTTGATGTTTCAGTCTATTGTGACTATGTATTATGCATGTGAATTAAACATTCTATTGTGCTTGTAGTGTAGTGTAGTGTAGTGTAGTGTAGTGAGTGTACCCTTTTTGTCGGCGCAGAACAGTCTGGTGTGATGTCTCTTCTGCACCACCACAAAAGTGATGCCCGGCTGGTATCCCACCTCCAGCCTCACACACGCCTCCCTGATAGCCTTCAACTCATGCACCAACACCTGCAAAAAGAACAAAAAATAAACTCAGTTAAACTCTTAAATTGAAAAGATTATTAAAAATTGAAGAAAAATGCAAACTTTTCTCGCTTTTCAAAAAAAAATTTTAAACGGAAATCTAGGTCACTATTTAAAAACCAGCCTGAAAACAGAACTAAAACCTGCAATTTTCAGCTTAGCTAGCTACATTTTGAATTTCCAGAGGTGTATTAAAATGAGCGAAAATGAAGATGAACATACCTGTTGGAACTGTCCTTCGCTCACACCTGTCCTGTACATGATGAGTCTGAGTGGCTTGAATCTGGTGTTCCTGTAGAACTGGATCAGCAGTTCCCTGATCATAGTAGACAAGTCACCTATCACTTCCTGTCTGTGGGACTGCACACGCACGACTGCCGCGTATCGGGATGGGTGGGCGTCCATTGACCCCACGACCTAAATGACACATTCATGCTTACTGCTTATTTGAGATTTATAATTGAACACAGAGTTTTTAACACTCATACACCAACCACTCAGCCACGGATATTTAATTGATAATAAACGCTAGCACAAATGAAGCAGAGAATCGACACTATGTAATTTCCAATGCTAGATCGTGATTATAGCAAAAGTGCCACCAAATAAGTGAACACTTTCTACTTTCAATGAACACTTTTATTTGCAAGTTGGGATAGAAAAAAAAGAAAATTCGTTCTACAGCACTAGCTTCTCGCAAGTGTAATCAAGAGTAACAAAACAACTAGCTGTATTAGAAGAACAGAATATACATACAAATCGAGCCTTTTTGCTCCGCGAAAAGCTCAAACCACTTTTGTTAACCTTTCTGACCAAACAGCCAACGTATATGTTTGCAAAAGAAAAAGAAAACGTTGCATTGAAAGTTTTAAATAAACCAAAGTTTGGAAGTTGATTTTGAAAAAAACAAGAACCCTCATTGAGCGCCCAGATGAGATCTTGAATGTAAACACATTGCAGCATCTCACAACTCACCGCAGCAATAGATGGCTTCTTCTCATCGCCAGCAGGCGGGTGAGTAATGTCAGCCCCCAGAAACATCACAGGCTCATTGAACACTTTTGGTCTGATATTGGGCACTAGGATGTTGTTCACGCCTCCTAGCTTCACATTGATCTTCAGACACAGATTGGAGAGTGTTTGGGGGGACGTTTTGTTCACATTCTTCACTTGAATGCACTGAGTGGCTAGTCCGAGTACTGTGTCGCCCACACGTTTTACTTCAGCTGTATTAAAAAAAGAAGATCATTTTGTTATTGTAACTTATAATTTTGTATTATGTCATAGTTATGCGTTATTTAGATATCGGTTCTAGGTAGGTCGTTTTTGATTGCTTACATCTATTTTGAAGAGTTTTGTCTTGAAAAATTCACACAATAGCCGAATGACACAAAAACGGGCGTAATTGTGGTCAATCTTCGACTACAGTAGGATATAAAAAAACAGTGATAATTAAACAAAAATGGCAGAAACAGCTTTTATTGTTTTTCAATTGATTCATTTATTATACTTGCATTGGCCATAATTGAGTGATTATTCGAAAATGACAAACAGTTGGAAAAGAGAAATGAACGCAAGGAAACTGAAAAAAACTGACTTGTTTTTTTTTCTTCAAAAACCTTCAACTTTAGAAATTCGAAGAAAAAAATAGATGACCTTAGAGCTCTTTGAATTTGAAGAACAATTTATGATGGAGACTTTTTTGTAAAACGTAACCCAATTTGAGAAAACTGGATCAAAAGGTACAACTTTTATTTCGCTGGGAAATCTGATAATTAATTTTCAATTTTCGAAATCAGGAGTCGATCACGTTTTTCGTGGCCTTTACATTGTTGCTGTTCGATAGTGGAGGCCTTTCTTTTAACAATGGAAATGCACTGAGCTTAAAAAGAAATCAAACTTCAAACCGAGAAAAATTAAACTTGAACGAACAAATTTTGAGACTTTTTACAAAAAAAAAATCAGCGAGACCCTTATTAGAGTACTCGCAACGTTCATTTTTCTCAATATATTTATTTTCTTTCGTACTGTCTGATTGTTGTGTTATTCTTGTTTGCTTCAACTCAAATAGAAAGAATAAACAAACAAATCAACACGCACCATACACAGGTGTCTTTCCAGGCAGCACCACTATGATCAGCTGGAGGTCCTTGTACTTGTCTGCCAGATGTTTAAACATGGCTTCCACCTGGTCAGCCCCAGTGGCATACATGCAGAAGCAGGGCTGAGAGATGATGGGCATGCCAGCGTCATTCGAGATACGACCTAAAACACAACAAACACCCACACATATTTGTACGAAAGCTCAATTGTTCTTCTTACGTGACGAGAAAAACCCACAGTTAGGACACCGAATAATATTTGCAAATGCTTTTGCGCGCCATTCGTGTTTTTTTGTTGTTGTGGGGAGGTTTCCACAAGAAGAACACCTCTAAAACTAGTTACCATATACTGGCTCTTTTACGCCTTCATAACATTATTTCTCAAACTTTGGCTGGGCTAAGTCCTTCCAAATAGTTTCATCTAGCATTTGTTAAAATTCAATTCTATATCCTAACTAGTTGCAGAGAAATTGGCGAAAACGCTAATAAAACATTAGTTCATTTGCTTGTTGAAATCGAAAATGTTTATCTCCCGCGACTGTATAAATAATCCAAATTTTCGAAGAAGTTCTTATAGTTTTGTTACTCTCTGAGAAAGAGAGGAAATTTGTCTCCCAAAACCGCCCATTACGATCTGACTTACATAACCAATCTTACATATCTTTTCAAACTAATTTGCATTAAAGCTTATAAGACTTGACCAATTCCTTCCCCAAATAAAACGATAGACAATGCTGAACAGCGCTACTTCCAAGCAAGATAGTAAACTCTTAGAACAGTCATTTTGAAAAGTCAAGGATTTCTCGAATCATTAACAGCCAATAACGACAGATTTTTGTTTGCAAGTAATTTCGTTGAAAAAATTGGTTAGCCTATGGTTATAAAGGATTGCCACCCCTATGAAGAAATAACGCAACAGTTAAGCATAAGTGAATTTTGTACCTTGAAAAGAATATCCCCTTTACCCCCTTTGGGGGGGGGGGGAGGGGGATAGTTAACAAGATGCTAATTTCAAAATACCGAGTTGGTCGGCGAAGTTGCGCAGGGCGTCCTCCTTGCACTGTCTAGTGGGTGCGAAACAGGCTATGGCCCAGCATCTGATGGTCACTCCCAGATGGAACTGCTTGCCTCTCATATCCCATACACCTTGAGTAGGCACTGCCTGCTGTCTAGTCTGCGAACAAAGGCAGACGAGAAAATATACACGATCAGCTGCACGCTTAAATTGCGTAAATAGATCAAATATTTACAAGAAACCATTACCACACTCTTTTAACAATTTTATTTCATGAAGTTCCGAAAAGCTGATAAAAATTGCCAAAAACGCCGAAATTGAGGTTTCCGAAAATCAGAAAAGAAGTTACAGAAAATTTCTTCAGAGTTGTTAAACACGGAAACTATCGTAAATAGTAGTAGTATGGCAAAAGAATTATCTGGCAAAAAGATATAGGGCAGAAAAATTTTCTCATCTGACAGCATAGAACATAGCCAACTGACAGTTGGAAAAAAGTAATGAACGCAAAGAAACTGGAAAAAAACTGACTTGTTTTTTTTTGAAAAACTTTCAACTTATGAATTTGGAAGAAAAAAATAATAGGCCTTAAAGCCCTTTGAATTTGCAGAACAAGTTATGACTGACACTTTTTTGATAAAAATTACCCAGTTTAGAAATTGGAAGTCGATCACAATTTTCGTGACCTTTACATTTTAGCTGTTCGATAGTGGAGTTTGCCTTCCTTTTACACAGATGCGAAGCTGCGTTTTGCAACTACTTGCGAGAACACGACTAAAAAGCAGCTCTATCAAGTGAAACAAGAAAAGAAAATAGCCTCGAATTAGCAAAAACTCGGCTATGTGTCGGATTCGAATCTGCGAACTAGCAAATTTGAGTCCCACCCACTAACCACTGGACCACGAATGCTAAATCCCCAAAATTTAGCCACGAATAACGCAGCTACATATGCTAAAAATTTACCAATTCGATGCAGCGACAGTAGCACCAAATAAAAAAAGACAATTTCGCATGTAATAAATTGGAAAGCATAAAGCCAAACTATGTGTAAATTATGCATTTCAAAAAATTGCGAGATACATGAGTTGGAAAATTTCTGAAATTGAGATTTTTATCATTGTACTGCTGTTTGAAACAAAAAACTTTTTTCGGTGCATTTGATGAATTAAAATTGCATCAGCTGTGTTAACTTTGTACTAATCAAATGTCAAAGCACATATGATATTATACTCAACCGCAGCGTACCAATTCAAAAGTGCCACAAAAAACCTCTTTTGCTTGCGGGTTAGCTTGGAAAAAATATTTAAATTCTTACTAATACACTTTGCTTCGCAAGTGTAAACAAGGGAAATTAAGTGAACTGATGAAGATACCAAAAGTCGAACCGCAAAAAAATCAACATTGAGCAAAAAAAGCGAAAAAAATCACCAGCCCTTTATAAGAGTACTCACTACGTTCATTACTTCTAATCATATTATCAATCAAGACGCGCTAAACAGAATTAGTGGACAAAAACAAAAGTGTCAACGAACTCAGACAAAAAACATTGCCACAGAAAAAAGTCGAGGAAAGCAAGGAAACAAAACAAAAAACGATAATTTCTGATTGATAATTTTTTGATATAACCGGCTCAATTTGAGAAGACTGGATCAATAAAGTTAAGTTTTTATTCCGCTGAAATATCTGAAAATAAAATTCCACTTTTGATGCTAGCCAATCACGCTTTACGATATCTTCACACTTCGTACTTGGTGAGTGCAACTTATCTAACTTTTAGCGAATGAAATGAAATTGAACACAGCATATACAAAAACGCACTAATAAGTATAGATGCACATTATTGCATCAGCTGTGTTAACTTTGTACTAATCAAATGTCAAAGCACATTTGATATTATACTCAACCGCAGCGTACCAATTCAAAAGTGCCACAAAAAACCTCTTTTGCTTGCGGGTTAGCTTGGAAAAAATATTAAAATTCTTACTAATACACTTTGCTTCGCACGTGTAAACAAGGGAAATTAAGTGAACTGATGAAGATACCAAAAGTCGAACCGCAAAAAAATCAACATTGAGCAAAAAAAGCGAAAAAAATCACCAGCCCTTTATAAGAGTACTCACTACGTTCATTACTTCTAATCATATTATCAATCAAGACGCGCTAAACAGAATTAGTGGACAAAAACAAAAGTGTCAACGAACTCAGACAAAAAACATTGCCACAGAAAAAAGTCGAAAGCAAGGAAACAAAACAAAAAACGATAATTTCTGATTGATAATTTTTTGATATAACCGGCTCAATTTGAGAAGACTGGATCAATAAAGTTAAGTTTTTATTCCGCTGAAATATCTGAAAATAAAATTCCACTTTTGATGCTAGCCAATCACGCTTTACGATATCTTCACACTTCGTACTTGGTGAGTGCAACTTATCTAACTTTTAGCGAATGAAATGAAATTGAACACAGCATATACAAAAACGCACTAATAAGTATAGATGCACATCTGTAAAATATTAGAGCAATTAAAGACCTTCTTTGGTAAGAAAAAAACAAACGAAAGAGGGTTCATCGACTCTTAATAACAAAACGATTGATTTCTTGTTTAGTTTCATCACAAGCAAAACTGCCAGCATTATTTCACCTTTCAGTATTGACCTAGTGGCCACTAAGCCGCAATGCCGATTTAGTTGAAATCAAAACAAGTAACGTCACGAGAAACTTTTACACCACAAACTGCAATGTATAATTTTTTTTAAATAATGAAGTTTTGCCTTTCAAACGATACAAAATAAATTGCGAACCAGCCGATAAAACAAGCGGAAATTAATTAGGCCGAACAGAGCTAATAAGCGGAAGAAAATATACAAAGCCAGGGCTGATAAATTTACAAATTACGGGAGTGAACCAACAAGTCTTGCAACTTACAGCTCAAAAATCCGTGATGTGGCAACTAAGAAAAACACAGCAGAAAAACGAAAGTCCGACAGTTCAATTTATCCGGACAAATTCAATTCATACACACTGAAAAAAAACAAGGGTCTCAAACCTCATATCGAGGTGTGCAAGCGTACACACGTTACATCCAGAGCAAATTGGAAGGAGTCTGGAAGTTAAGAATAAAGCACGGTCAATTTCTTACTGATTTGTAACGAAGTTGTTTACGGGGAGGTCTAGTTTACATGACAATTGCTCTGGCAAGTGTTAAGAAAAATTATATGACTTGAAAGTTGAAATTGATCACTGTTAATGAATGACACTTTTTCCATAAAACTAACTAAAATTGATAAAACTGGATACTTATAAGACGTTTTAGTGCGCTGCGAAATCTTAACATTAAAGTTCGAAATTTACATAAATCGAGTTTTTTCGAGCCATATGCACATTTCTCACTGGGAGCGAATTTGTTTCAACTTCTTTAACAGAATGCTTCTTAAACTTCAAAAACCAATCAAACCACCAAAATATAAACTCGAACTACCAAAACAGAAAACTGAGGAATTTTTCCCGCAAAAAAAATTCAAATTTATTAAAAATTTATTGACAGTTGAAAATTCTGATAGGGCCAATTATCTTTCAGACTAAACCAATAATTTAGTACGTTGTACTGTTTTCGAGCTTTGAAGAGAGAAAGAAAGCATGTTGGCTGAAATAGACTGATAACTTTTTTGAGCTACAACCAGAAAGCAGACTTATTTCGAGAAGATTAAAACATCACGACAGATAACGCTTTTTCTCTAGTTTTACTTATAAGATTGAGATTTATAGGAGGAGGTAAGCTCTCTAAGAGATTTAAATAGGTTTTGATTTTCAAAGCGTTTTTGAGTAGGATATGATTCATTATTTTTTTGAAGATTTGTAGACTCCGTTTTCGTATTAAGAAAAAACTAGGTTAACTTTTTATTTGGTTGTGGAAGCAGTGATTCATAAACAGATAATATATTTTGACGATTTAAAACAAACCCTGTTCTGCAAACATAAAACTACAGCTGTCGTTTTGCGTTTTCTTAAATATATAAAGAACTCAAAAGGTTATAAAAAGCCTAAGTAATTGAAAGATTTCCAATTAAAAGGACGATTTGAGAATCATTTGAAATCCACAATCCACAAAATTATAAAATACCGTGGAAATTGAAAATTAGCCGTGGTATTAGGACTTGTACTTCCGTCTCACAACCACTAACTTGGTGGTTTCAAATGAACAATAGTACGTAGCTCACAAAAAAAAGAATAATATAATAGTTCATTTCCTTGTAGAAAAGCTTTAGTAGGTATGAAGACTCCTTATCCGCGAGAAAAGAACCAACAGATTCGTATGTTCTTCCGGGAATTCAAGTCTTCGCTTTTGTGTTCAGGGGGTCTTGACAGAGAACTGCTGTGCTAGGACCCCTGATGAAAGCCCACGAGTTTTTCATTTTTAACGGTTCATTTTCTTCACTTGGAACTTGGTTCACCCTTAACCTTAACCAACGAGTACGGCAAATGGCGAGCCTCGAACCAGCAACCTTTCTACTGAGAACAGTATACCTCTGCCACTTTATATTAGCTCCTCCCACCTATGCTAAAAAAGACACGAAAGTGAACTTACTCTGCCTCCGTATTGCAGTTTGGGTGGGTTTAGTATCCTGCCTGGCACTTTGACCATTTCGTTCACTATGGTGATTCCGAAGTCATGCAGGTAGTGGTCCCTATCAAAGCCGGCATTCCTGATCTAAATTACATCACAGAAATATTACACTGATCAAGTCATGTCTGAATTCATAAAAAATATACATTTTACGGCTTCGAATCTGTCGAAAACTTTCGAAAATTACTTGGGAGAAATAAAAATAGCAAATCCCTCTCAAAAAAATTATCACTTCTATTAAAACAGACGCCTATAGGTCATACAATGGCTTTTTGATATAAACATTATGTAATACTTCTGTAAATTTAGGGAAAACATGATATTGTTATTCAATCATCGCCACAACAAATCGACTACACTAACCAGAGTAGATATCTCGTTCTCTCTGTCGGGGGCTGATCTGGCAGTAGCTTTAATCATGGTGGATGTCTGCATGTCTGTCAGTTTCTTAATACACCTCTGGCCTCCCACTATATTGCACAGTTCCAGTGGCAGGAACGTATGTTTGCTCTCCTGGCCCACTTGCAGACACGGCAGCTGCGGATATCTGGAACACAGGACATACATAGAAAACACATAGAATCTGAATTTAATTTTTCAAATTCTTATAATAATATAATAAACTGTTTAATTACTTTGTGTAAAGTAAAAACTTCGAGACTCACTTAAGATTGATGGGATTATTTTAGCATTATTTGTTACAATTATTGGCCGCTATTAAACTAATGCTTAAAGTATGGAAAGTGTGTCTGAGATTGTGGGGGATTGTGTGTGAACAGACTAGACTGACTTGAGGTTGATGGAGTACTTGTCCTTGAAGTACTTGGCCACCGTGCACTCCATCGACTGTCCATTTGGGAGGAGGAGTGGGAATGTCTGCTGCTGGGCTGTCCTCCTAGTCACATTACACACTCGGTACTTCCTCTTCTGAGTACCGCCATGTGTGATCTCCACTTTCAGTCCTAATCACACAGAACAATACCAAAATAATGAACCCTTCTACCACACAACAACTTCAAAAACAATGAATCTTATGTTTAGGACCACTTCCATAGAGACCACACCAATACTCACAGGGTTCATACACTACATTAACAACAACAACAAAAGCAACAACAGCATATGCCGCATCAGCAGTAACAACATCAACAAGAAAACCATGATTCTCTTTTTCTAACTCAAAAGTTATACTTTCTTCAACAACGGATAATATCTTTTGGCGACATCCTTTGAGCTAACTGAAATTTTCTGTCGGAAAAGAAAACAAAAAAACTCCATCACTTCTGATGATTCGACAAGAGACAGTGGCAAAGCAAGACCTTCGACTGTAAGGTCACAAAACGGAAAGAGAACTCTTATCTCACACTTACTTAATTATAGGAAATAGAAGACTGACCTTTGATCTCTTTGGTGAACTTGACTCTGTGTGAGTCACTCAGCTGTCTGCTCAGTTCCTGTCCTTGACTCTCCTTCAGATCCAACACCTGCAACACAACACAACACAACTCACAACATAGGGTCACTAATCATAACCTCTAAATGCAACTACATTTTAAGCATTTTCACACATTTTGTAAATCAAAAATTTTACTAAGGGATTCTGAAATGTTTCAAAAGGCTAACTAATCCAAGCTAATATACCGTTTAATCAAAGAACTCAATGGTTTCTTCGACATTACTACGAGATCTTTATTGTCAAAGGAGTATCAAGATACTTTTGAAGCCGAACAAAATGAAATCATGAACTAAACACTCGAAAGTTAGTTTTAACAACCTGCTCAAAAAAATTTTATCAACTTTTTTAAAAAAAATTCTTTGATTTGTACCCTAAAAAGTGAAATTAACTGGACTGACCTCTACGAGAAAATCGATGACACTTTGCTGTTTGTAGAATGCAGTGGCCGAGGCATCTATGTTCAACATCATCTTCCAGTGGGAGGGCCTCACACTCTGGTGGAACCCAAACCACACCTCCCTTCCCCCTCCCAGAGGGTGGTAGTAGTCCTTGGGGGGAGAGAAGAAGGAACGACCCACTGGCGTGTAGCTAGAATACAAAAGGTAAAAAGTTATTAAAATGATTTCAAGTTTAGATGAATGATCCACGCCGGTTCCATTTAAGGCATCTCCAAGTTCGGTCTCTGATATTTTGCTCCTTCAAATAAATCAACGAGTAGTTAGTTTTTTGAGCTATCTAAAATAGAGGTTTTAGTATAAAGGATACACAGTAGATTACAAGAGAACGAAAATCGTCTAGAGAAATCTTTGCTTTCTTCGCCACAACAAAAGTCGTTGCCATTCATATTTCGACACCTTCATCAATATTCGGATATGCTTTGTCAAAACATAACACACAAGCGAAGCTGCACTTCGCAGACACAAGCGTCAAAACGCCCCAAAGTATCTTAAAAAGGGTAAAAACATTAATGAGTTTTGAGGTTTCTATACCCTCTACTGGAATCGAACCACAGGCCTCGACATCAAAGTCGACTTATCAACACAACTATACTACTAAAGCTCATAGAATCGAAACACTGTCACTCGCTACGAGGAGACCACATGCTATTAAACTGCCAATACTATGCAGACAAATTGTTTACCAAAAAAGAACTTTTATGTTAGTTGTTGGATTGGAAAAAAAATTGGACTCGTATTATAACACTATGCTCGCTTCTCATCCAAGTATATGCACAGCGATGAAGCTGCCTTTCGGAAACAAACACGAAAACCAACAAAAAAAACTAATTTCTACACAGTAAGAACACGGCAAAAACCCGCTAATTAAAGTTCAATACGAAAAAAAAAGAAATAAGCCTCGAATTAGAAAAAATTCGGCCAGTTCTCGGATCCGAACTCCGACCTACAGAATAAAAGACTCACGCAGTATCCATTCAACCACGGACACTTGATAATTCACAAACACTAGCCTCAAATGAATCAGAAAACAGATGCTATGAAATTTCCAATGCTACAGTCCGTGCTTATAGCAAAAGTGCCACCAAATAATGAACACCTTGCCACTTAATAATGAACACTTTTATTTGCGAGTTAGGTTAGAAAAAAAGAGGGTTCATACTAATACACTAACACTCGCAAGCTCGCTACTGTAAAAAGAACAGGCGCTTTGAATGCAAACATGCTCAAAACTTGTCTGTTTGTTGGCGAAATAACAGAAATGGAGATGACAGCCACTTGAGCCATCCTGTGAACAAAGTTGTCTACGGCAAAAAAAGTACAGTACCCGGTTGCAACACACTTGCTAATCGCAAGGGTAAAATACAATAAAAGAGAGACGCCCTGTACAAAAAAGATAACTTCAATTATTGTTCCCTTTTCCAGCGGATCAACATGATAACACAGGATGATTTAAATCGATAAAATTCTGTCACAAACAATAGTCACATATAGTAAAAGGGAAGGAATTCGCTATGAGATACAAAATATGCTTTACCATTGATTTAGGCTCTTTATAGGGGGTGGTTACCCTTACTAGCTAACAAAGAAGGTATAGTTAACACAGAGGCGAAGCTGTGCATGGCGAAGAAACGACAAAGAAGTAGCTCCATACAGTGAAATAAAAAAGGTAAAACGTAAGCCTTAAAAAATAAAACTTTTACTGTGGCGAAATCGATCCTACGACCATGAGATTTATAGCCATATAGCTACGAGCTCTTGACGATTTGCGAACACTAGCCACAATTAGAGCAGCTACATATGCTAGTAAATTGCCATTGCAATGCAGCAAACGTGGCACCAAAAATAAAGAGACACAATTTTGCATGTAATAAATGTATAAAACTGTGTAATAACTGTAATATATGGAATGCATAAAACTGGGCATCCACACTAACTTTGCATATAAGAAATTAGAAAGCATAAAGCCCAATTATGTGTAAATTATGCATTTCAAAAACATTGCAAGAGTTTTTCGGTTCATTTGATGACTGACAAATGCATCAACTGTGTTAACTTATTACTAATGGAATGTCAAAGCACATGCTATCCCAAAAGTGGCACCAATTTTTGCGACTTAGGTTAGGAAAAAAATAGTCGTACTATTACACTACGCTCGCTGAAGCTCGCGAGTGTAAATAGCTAAGTGGGAGTAATTAGTAGTACTAACTTGATGGAGGGGAAGTGTCGCATGATGACATCGAGTGCCTGGATGGACTCGGTGGGGGGCAGTTGGTTCTTCCTCTCCAGCACCTGGTCCAGCAGACCCAGACTCACTCTGGTTACATACTGCAGGATCACTTTGAACACACGCTCCCTACTCTCGTCACTGGGAAGAGTCACGTCCACCTCCAACTACACACAAACACTTTATTTATTCTTCATTCATTTTAAGACTAAAATATAAAACTGAATCTTAAACAGAAGTAACAATATTTTGAATCATACTTATGTGCGAAGAACCGAACGCGGGCAAATTTTGTCAGCCAATCAGAATTAACAATTCATAAATTCAAAGATAGTAAGTGATAAAATCAGTCAATTTTGGACAGTTAAAACGGCGTTTATTGGCTGAAAATTCCCGCTCATTCGTTCCTTCGAGCAAGAAAAAATCTCCAATCCTTCCGTGTGATCGTCAAGTACCGCCTTTGATAGACATCATGCCATTTAGATTTATTTCTGATATTCATTGTTTCTGAAAAAGACTCAAATAAAAAAGGACGGCGTTTTCAACGCACGCAATCTGCGTCTCCTATCTATAATTTTTAACAAACAGGATCTCTTACATTCGGAAAAAACTAAATCACCACATCTAAATACAAATAGAATGATGAAACTGTGAATGTGCTCACTGGTCCTTCGAAGTTGTTGACTAGTGGCTGTTTGGAGTAGAGGTTCTTCCTTCCATCGTAGACTGGCTTGTGGTTGCTCTGGAACGTCTGTGGGTTGGCCCTGAACATGGTGTCTATCACCTCCCTGTTCACTCTGCGAGGACACTTCTCAGGAGTGATGGTCACCTAAATAAGTATTCTAGTTATAAACACAGCCAACAGACAGTTGGAAAAAAGTCACTGAACTCACGGAAAAAACTGAATAATTTATGAAAAAACTTGATGTTTCGAAGGTAGAAAACATTTAGGCTTAACCCTCTTTAAGACGAAATTATGATTGGCACGGACCTTCGTTTCACTTGCTATACATTACAAACACCACCAACAGACAGTTGGAAAAGTCTTGACAAACATAAGCACTAAAACTCCAGCTATCGAGTTTCAAAGAAAAAAATTATTAATTAAAAGCTCATCATATTTCCATTTTTTTAATAATTCACTGTTTTTTGCTGATATTAAGCGAAACAGAGAACAATGGATCAACAGATAAATTTTTCAATTTACTGGGAATTAAAAAGTTTAAATGCATTTTTGAAACTTAAGCTCGTTTTGGAGAAGGGAACTGAATTCACTTACTGAGACAGCTTTAAAATAATCAAAAGACAAAAAATCATCAAATTTTTAGACTTTTCTTTAATGTTTTTTTTTAAAATATCTAACTGAGTACATACATTGACACTTAAACAACAAGTCAAACTGGCCAAAAAACATTTGGAAAATTGTCAAAAAAACTAGATCTACTCAGAACATTTTGATTTGTCTCATAAGAATTTCATTTAAAGCAGAAGCTAGCTGAAAGTTCAAACGTTTATAATAATACACTAAGCTGACGCAAATGTAATGAAGCGGCAACTAAGCTGAACAAGGAAACTGAAAAAAAAATGACTTGTTTTTTCAAAAATCTTCAACTTTTGAATTTCGAAAAAAAAACAGATGACAATAAAGCTCTTTTAAATTTTAGAACAATTTATGATGGAAACGTTTATGTTAAAACCAACCCAATTTGAGAAAACTGGATCAATATTTACAACTTTTATTTCGCTGGGAAGCCTAATAATTAAATTCCATTTTCGAAATCAGAAATCGATCGTTTTTCGTGACCTTCACACTTTTTCTGTTCGATAGTGGAGCTTGCATTCCTTTTAACAATGGAAATGCACTGAGCTTAAAAAGAAATCAAACTTCAAACCGAGAAAAATCAAACTTGAACAAACAAATTCTAAAACTTTTTACAATGAAAAAAAAAAAATCAGCGAGACCCTTATAAGAGTACTCGCAACGTTCATTTTTCTTCATATATTTATTTTCTTTCGTACTGTCTGATTGTTGTGTTATTTATTCTTGTTTGCTTCAACTCAAATAGAAAGAATAAACTAACAAATCAACACTCACCATACACAGGTGTCTTTCCAGGCAGTAACCGCGAAAAAATCAAAATTGAGTGAACAAATTTTATGACTTTTTTCTGAAAAAAAAAATCAACAAGACCTATATGAGAGTACTCACAACGTTCATTACCCTTAAGAAACTCCAGAACAGGAAATTTGAAAGTCAAAGTTTTGAAGCTTGAAGTCTTCTTCCGAAGCGCACACAAGCAACAAAAATCACCCTTCAACAATAAAAAAACTTATTTTCATTGTTTCTTAAAGATAATGGAGATCTTATGGATTTATTTTTTTGAATCATCAAGTCGCGGATATTATCTCACAACTTCTGTCATAGGTTTTTTCAGGTTCATGCCTCGATAAGCTGCATAGCTTTTTGCATGATACTTGGTGGGTTTGATTTGTACATGCGGTTTATTGTTTACCTGTCTGTATAATATTACTCTCCTAAATAAACAATCCAAAAATGCGAAAAGGCAAAAAAATTGAACGGAAACGAAGAAAAAAATAATCTGAATCAATGAATCCTGAGCATAGCCAATAAAAGTTGATAAAAAGTCAATTAACGAAAAAAACTTTGGAATTTCAAAGAACAAAATAGATGAAATTAAAGCTCTTTGAATTTCAATCACAATTTATGATGGAACCTTTTTGTGATATAATTAACTCAATTCGAGAAAACTGGATCATTGGGTGTAATTTTCACTGAGTACGAAATTAGAAGAGGATCACGTGCTTCGTGACCTTTACACTTTTGATGTTCGGTGGTAGACCTTGCATTTCTTTTAAACCAAAGATTGAAACTTAGAAAGCAATCAATAGTTAAACAGTGAAAATCAAATGTGAGCGTCAACAAAAATTAAAACTTAAAAAAATTCGTCGGTACTTAAAATGCAAACATGCTCAAAATACGTCTAATTGTTGTGATAAACTTATTAAATAGATAGATATGTCTCGACGAACCGGATAAACATCTTATCTTGGGTAGCCCTTGTCTACGAAGGGATTTTAGAGATCCGGTTGATGGAAATCGAAATTGACACAAACAGAATCAGATAAAGAAGATAAACCAGCTCATTTGAGAGTGGTTACGACAGCCAGAAAAGACACGAACAAATTCCCGGATGTTATCCAGCTCATTTTAGAGCGGGAATGACAAAGAGAATTTGGAAATATCTTTAAACAAATCTACCAAAATCCAGCTCATTTTAGAGCGGAAACGACCAATAATTCCCAGCAAGACAATTGAAATATGTCGTCTCTCCACTGTACAGTATGTCAAAACGCTTTAACCAATCAATCGGTGAAATGCGTCGGTTGTCAAGCTTCTGCCCACTCTGCGTGTATTGGCCTCAACACTGCCGATAAGGTGGTTGGGCACATTGAATGGAGTTGCCCAGATTGTGGAACCTGTAAAAGAGATCTTTTCCGAGTTATTGATGAACTGCGACAAGAACTGTTCTCAATAAAGACTATGGCGCAAGATGTACACGAATTAAAGTCTGAGCTGCTATCGCTGAAGCAATATCGTGAACCAAGTAGTATAATTGAAAAGAACAAAACCAATTATGCTGGGGCAGCGAAGTTTAATCTGAATTCTTCGGCATTCATCAGAAATGCTCGTGAAAGTGTATCCTCAGAAGCTGGTAGCTCGAGGGTTACGAAGCGAAAAGGCTCCAAAGATAGAAATGACCGCAGACCAAAGAAACCACTAATTACGGGAGAAGTGGTAACAGAAGCACTCAAAGGTGTAGAGAAGCCACCACCACGACGCCATCTCTATGTTGGAAGAATAAAACAGACAAATGATGAAAGTGATATAGTCGCATGGTGTCAAAGTAAAGGATTTCCTCTGAATCATATCAGGGAAATAACAAAGGAAAATTCTCGCCACAAAAGTTTCCACTGTGTATTTGACGGCGAACATGCAACAATCATTGATCAACCTAATTCTTGGCCGGAAAATGTTGTAATAAACAGGTACTATCTTGATGCAGAAGCCAGAACCTGGCTCAGAACTTTGAAAAGCGACTGACTAAAATCAAACAAAAAACCCGAGTCTCAATCGAATGCTATGAAAGTTGGTGTAATTAATATACGTTCTCTAGCGAAAAAAGTAAATCAAATACAGAGCATATTGGCTATAGAACAAGTTGATATCTTGATCATTACTGAAACCTGGCTTAAGCCGGATACGGAATATATTCTAAATCAGTGTATAGACTCTTCAAATGAATATCGATATCATCATGTTTCACGAACGGCTAAAATAGGTGGAGGTGTTGCCATAATTTCTCGCGAAGAACTACAGGGTGAAAGAATTTTGAGCCATCTCTGGGACGATGGTGAATTCTTGGTAATTACGGTCGTAACTAGAAAAGTCAAAATAACAATTGCAGCAATATATAGACCGCCGAGTGGAAATTATAACGAGTTTTTTAATGAATTGACTGAAAATATTCTTGCCTCATCAATTGAAACCCAAATTCTCCTCCTGGGTGATTTTAATTTGGATCTAGAAAACAGACGTTGTGCCAAATCCAATACATTTTGTTCGATTCTACTGGAATATAACCTAGAACAGATTGTTAAGAAAGCAACTCACGAATACGGGAAAATTCTAGACCTCATAATTTGTTCAAACCCGGAATTGTGCTCACCCGTTAGAAATGAGCACGTTGAATACTCTGATCACCATCTATTGACGTTCACTTATGAAATCGCAATTCAACGGAAGGATAAAACCAGATTGACTATTTATGATTGGAACAATACAGACTGGAAACATTTAGAGACGGAAATAGATCAGAATTTAATCTTGAATCTGAACACCAGTGACCCGAACGAGATGGCAGAGAATTTTATCGAAATTTTGCAGCTGCTGAAAACTGATTATGTGCCAACTAAGACCAAAGTTGTCAAAAACCGATTTTGTAATTTTTACGATAAAGAGTTAGCAGACGTAAAACGAAAACGTAGAAAATTAGAACGCGTAATGCGTGTAAATCCTGGATTAGAAAACGAAACAGCTTTCAAGGAGTATTTAAAGAAATGTAAAGATCTGTTTAGAGAGAAGAAATTGATATATTTTTCCAGGCGCTTTGAGCTTTCAAATAGCCATTCGCTCAAATTTCGTGAATTGAAACGCCTTGCTGGAGAAAAACAACAAAACGTTCTACCACTGATATACTCCAGTGATTATGAATTAGCTGAAAACTTCAACCAATTTTTCATTCAGAAGGTTAGAAATTTAGTGGCAAATGTTAAAAGTAATGGCATCTCGTCGCCACTCTTTGCTTTCACTGCAGTTTCTTCTTTCCAATTCCAATATGTGACTATAGATGAACTAGAAGAAGCAGTAAGAATGGTTTCAAACGCGAACTCACGAGAAGATATACTGAAAACGATAGATATGAAAAGAATAGCACACTCGTGGAAAGATTATTTCATCATTATGATAAACAATTGCATCGATCAGTCCAAATTTCCAAAATGTCTCAAGAGAGCGGTGATAACTCCTCTCTTAAAAGACCACAAACTTGACCAAAACGTTTTAAATTCTTATAGGCCAATAGCGAATCTGATGTTTATCAGTAAAGTTTTTGAAAGAATTTTATATAAACAGCTCGATCAATACCTTAGCTCCTATAATCTTCTAGATGAACACCAATCTGCTTACAGGAAGCATTTTTCAACTGAAACGGGTCTGCTAAAAACTACAGATGATCTACTGACTAGTCTCGACAACAAGAGACAGGTCATTTTGATAGCCCTTGACCTTTCAGCTGCATTTGATACCATTGATCATAAAACATTGAGAAAGATCATGAAAAATCGGATTGGAATGACGAATGATGCAGTGGATCTAATTCTTTCCTATCTAGAGAATCGGACTCAAATTGTTGCTATCAATGATGTTTTATCGAATTCTCAAGAACTCGAATTTGGAGTGCCTCAAGGTTCTCTTCTGGGACCCCTCCTGTTCTCAATCTACCTGACACCATTGAACGATATTATTGGCTCAACTAAATTTTCATACCAAGTGTATGCCGATGATACTACTTTATACTGTGAAATCAAAAATGAGAGTGAATTAGCAGAAATAGAAAGATCTCTGGTTATTATTTCGAACTGGTTTTCGTCCATGGGGCTTCTGTTAAATGAATCAAAAAGCCAAGTAATTAACCTAGCCACTAGTAAGTCAAAAGGTCTAACAAACAGTTCACTACTCATTGGAAATTCAACGGTTAAGCTGATGAAATCAACAGAAAACTCTGTGAAGTCTTTAGGTTGCCTCATTGACCGATCCTTGTCATTGAAAAAACAGATCGATTCCGTGTGTGGCGCCAGTTACCACAGTCTCCGGAAACTATACAGCATACGTTTCTACCTTGATTTTGAAAATAGAAATATGTTGGCAAGAATGCTAGTCTTAAGTCGATTAGACTACTGCAATAGCTTGTACTCGAGCTTACCAAATTATCTGCTCTACAAGTTGCAAAAAGTCCAAAATAGTGCCTGCAGATTTGTTTTCGGTTTGAAGAAGTCAACGAGTATTACTCCTTATCTACATGATCTACATTGGCTGCCCATAAAATCTCGAGTGATTTTTAAAGTCTTGACAATCGTACAAATGCATTTTCAATCCTCAAATCGTTCCGTCTTATCTGAGTAAATATTTTTCACTACAAAAAAGTTCCTCCCGTTTCAGTGAAAGGACCATGGTCATTAAGAAACCACTGGTTAACACGAACTATGGAAAAAGGACGTTTAGGTTTGCTGCCGCACACCATTGGAATAGTTTACCATGTAACCTTAAACTACCAAATGAAACTGAATTTCGTAAACAGTTGAAAACGTATTTGTTTAACCAGTATTACTATGAGACTTGTTTCAGTTAAAGGTTGCTAAAATGACTGAAACTAGAAAAGTTGGAATTCAAAAGCTAAACGAAACCTTGCGTCTAAGAAATGTTCATGTTGAAACCAGGTTTCTCCCCAAAAGACGGATAATATTGAGCTCTGATAAGATCAAGAGAGTGACATATGCTGTTTTGGGATCATCGCTAGTTTATGGGATTTTTCTGCCAGATTCCGTGACAGTTTCGTGCCCTGGTGGAACTCTCTCAACCCTTTGTAGCGATCAGGTTCTCAATGATATGAAAAACTTGGATGTACAAACAGTGCTCATAATGGGAGGAACAAACAACCTGTTTGACCGTTCAGGGCGCCAGTCATTGGGAGCGACTGAAGTAGCCGAGGAGATGGAGAGTGCTATTTTTAGACTCCTTGACTGCAATTTCGAAGTTGGCGTCATGTCACTTATTAGCCGGGAAGGTAAACGCTCTCTTATCAGGAGAGTGAATAAATGCTACAGAAATCTAACGGCATGGTATAAAATCCCGCTCTTTAAAACTGTAAAGTTCAGCTATCGGAGGCATGTTTGCGCAGATGGTCTTCACCCCACAGCAAATGGCGTGCGCGAACTTGCTAAGGACTTTTATGACGCCTTCAGAAGCATAGAAAATCCAATGGCTGTGAAACGAAGGCAAAGAAGGCGACGACGATGAAACGCCCAGCTCATTTTAGAGCGGGTCCGATTTTTAACCATCTTCAAAGAACATTTTCTGTTCAAATCCCAGCTCATTTTAGAGTGGGTACGGCTATCGACAGAAACGAACTCATCTTTAGCGGAGCGACTGATTATTCTTACGACAAAACTGGTTTTTAATTAAACTCAAACACCTTTCAATTCAAGAAATTGGTGTCGAAATAACATATGTGATGATGGTGATGATGATGTTGGCAGTCCAAGTCTTCAACTATTATCGGGAAAAACGGCATAGTACCAGGTTGCAATACACTTGTTCTCGCAAGTGCAATAGTTCATTGTTCTAGAAAACTCATCACACCGTTCACTATCTGCATTTTTCGAACTAGCCCAATCAAAAAAATGATGAGTTTGGTGCCTTAACGTCAGATACATTTATTTCACCTTTACAGCTTGATTGAAGTATTCCTCGTGATTAATCGAAGTGCACACAAGCAAAAAAGCTTACATCTCCAAAAATTCAAAACTCTATTGATCCAGTGTTCTCAGTTTGGGTTACTATTAGCAAAAAAAAACTGAATTATTAAAGATAGTGGATCAACAAGTCAACTTACATCATAGTGGAAAATGTCAATGTTTGGCAGTTTGATCTTGAAATGATTCGCCCGCAAGTAGATTGGTCTGCCCTCCCGCCCCTGGTCTGGCCTGGTGAGACACGTGAACACTCCGTCGCCAGGGCTGGAAGGAGTTCCCGCTGAAAAAAAAAATAATCGGAGTTATATGCGGAAAAATTACACCTAGAATCCATTCCGACAGTCTGAAGTTCGGTTCGTCCTGATTGGAATATGAAAACATTACCCAACTCAAATTTCACTAAGATTAGACATCATCACCCAATACATTTTACAGCAAGACGTCAATTAAGTTTTTATTAACTATTGTCGGCGAATAATAGAACTGAGAAAAAAAAACGATTTATTGTATAACGGGTAACTTTTTCAAGCTCTCGAACCAATTAAACCGCTGTGAAGCTATTCTAAACGTAAAAGTTATTTTCAAAAAAATTTAACCATCGGAGAAAACTGGATAAACGTTATTCCTTTTATTCCACAACGCCATTTTCACTCATTTTTTTGCAGGACGTTATAGCAGTTGGGACCAATTTACTTTGCCACAATCCAACAAAGAATAAACATTTGAAAGCGTTGAAAGTTGATTTAATTCACCGAGCTATGATTAATCACGCATCATCGATAATTTGCATCAATGATAACTGCATACAAGCTCATATGTCTTCTCATATACGATTAACAATAACCTGGCTTTTACACCAGAAGCCTCATTGTTTCTTCAATTCAGTTTAAGCGACAACGTTTCAAAAGGTTATAAGCTAGAATGGATATGAACTATCGCTTCTAAATTTAAGGTCTTTTCGGCCAAAAAGAACAAAACGGAAATCTCTGTTGTATTATTTCTGACAAAATATCTACTCTATAAAAACAGATAAAAATAAGCCTTGAAAATTAAAGCTTTTGCTGTGCCGGATTCAAAACTACTGCTAGGAGGTTTAGAGCCCCCTGTCATCGCATCTGCTTGCGCCACGGGCCCTTGACAAATTACAAACACTAGCCAAAGATAAAGCAGCTACATAAGCTAAAAAAATTTCCAATGCTATGCAGCAAAAGTGGCACCAAATACGAATAGACACAATTTTGCGGGACCGCGACAAATCGAAAGAAAAGAAAACTCAAAATTAATTTATGTCGTAAGAAATTCGGTTTAAGGTCGCCGGTGGGCGCAATGCATTTGCTTTGCTACTTCGCGGAGATAACCGGCACTAAATTTCGTATGAGGTACTACCCTCTGTAGGCAAGCTCGCAACACGTTGGCACTACCGACTGCGGCGGTGAGTACATTGCGAGTTGCACTTTAATGGGAGCTGTATTTTATTGCGAGTTATCTTTTGTTGCGAGTTGTGGCATCGCGCAACTTCGCAAGTAATAATTTAGATAATAACAAATGAGCATCATGGATAAGTGCATAAGAGTGCAAACAATATGGCCCAGCAAAATGAGAAACTGTAAACATCCAAAATTTTTACGAATATTAAGCGGAGGTTAAATATCTTTCAATATGTTTAACTCGTTGCGTGACATAAGAGGAGTGTAAAAAAACTATTATTTCGCATTGAAATGAGCTTCTTGCATTGGAAAAAAAACGATTGACCGCACTAAACTGGCAAGCGTGCAAGTGTAAAATGTATATTACAGGTGATTTGAACAAACAAATTTGATTCAAAAATACGTATCAAATTGCACGGCTACAATTCAGCCTGTAATTCATAAGTAAATTTATGAATTTAATTTATCTAGTGAGCAACATTAGCGCAAATTATTTAATTTCTGTCTCATATTTACAGCAAACGCTTAAAAAAACGGGAAAATACCGTCTAGTTGCTCTTGTTTTTTTTTTTAGCTGAGACCTCTTTATACGTTAATTTTAGAAGTAGTTCAAAGCATGACTACGTTGCGCTGGTGCAAAAAGGTGATTCAAGCTTCTAAACAAACAATCAATGCAAGAGAAAAAATGAAAATTCACCAAAAGATAACCAACAGAAATTCAAATGTTGAGGAACTCTTGAAGACAAACCGAACAAAAATGAGTGACTTTTGCAAAACTGCGAAAAAACAAATCATGTTATATCTCTTTGATTTTTAGGCATCTTTCAATTTGCGCCATTTCCTATTTGGACAATGAGAAGCGCAAGTTTCGTTCCTCTACGCAATAGGACTGAAATGAAAAAATTTTGACTGAAACGAAATTTTGCAAAACTTCCTTTACGCAACATTTTGACTGAAATGAAAAAGAAATTAAAATTCAAACCGAGAAAAATCAAAACAGACAATTGAAAAAGTGTCAAGGAACTCAAGAAGTTTTTAAAAACATGATTGATTTTGTTAAACAGTTTTGCATTTTCGAGTTTCAAAGAAAAAATATATGACCTTTAAAATTTGAAAATCGCAAACCATTCATAATTGACAATTTTTGTGACCCAAATTGATCATGGAATTCTAAGTGGAATCAACTTTTGAAACTAGAAGTTTTTCATGATTTTTTTTGCACCACTTCCACTTTTGTTACTACAGAGTGTCGGTTGCCGCCGTTTATTAAGAAAACGAACTTGAATCGAACTTTAAAATGTATATCAACTCCACCTATATAAGTGTCTTCAATATGCTCATTGACAATTAATTTGAGTGCGAACAAATTTTTTCCTGGAAAATCAACCAAACTAAAAAAAATGATAAATCGGTCTAATTGAATTCGTTGTCAAACTACTTTCGTAGATCTGTCAAATACCTGAAAACGTAGATCTGTTGCTGTTACTCCCCCCACTCTGCCCATCACTACTGGAGGAGGGGGTGGAGAACAAGCCCACACTAAAAGCAGGTGTTCTATTATGGCCCCCTCCCACCAGACTGCCATTGGTGGCAGAGTTCAGAAGCAGATCTGGCGGACCACCAAGAGACAGGGGCACTCTACTGCTGTTTGATGTGGCAGACGAGGGGTTGAATATACTGCTTCCGTTGAAGTAACTGTACTCCCCCATTCACGTTTTCAAGTAAATTGAATTAGTAAAAGTAATTTTACGAATTAAATTGCAAAAAAGCCAAAAATTAAAAAGATTCCCGAAATATTTTTTGCTCTCAACTGAGTTTGTTTAAATCACTCAAGTTTGAAAATTAAAATTGAGATTAGATGTTTTCGTTTTCTTCGTTAATAACGAAAGCCAATTAGAATTGAAGTAATTATAAATACTATGAGACAAAAAATCCGGATAAATAGCTAGATGTATCCAAGAATTTACCTCCAAAAAATTATACAATTAATCAAATATATTTAAAAAATGATCTAAATTTCAAGTTTATATTGACTGTAATTTTTTTTTACTTCGGCAGCAAAGTTAATTAAAAGTTTATAGTTTAACTGGTAGTAAAACTGGTAAAATATCCGTAGTAAAAGCGTTAAGTTTAACTGAAGCGGCGTAACTTCATTTAACAGCTAACTGTGCTCTTATGGTTATAGTTATAATAAAAATAAAACATCAAAGGCTGGCAAGCGGTTAAAAAAGAAGAAGCTTCTTTACATGTATTACAACAAAGGGAAGAAAAACATTGATGTATAGGAATAGCCTTCAAATATAATACTAAAATACTGGAAATGCCGCCGTGTTGAAGGTTACGTTATGGTCTTTTTGGTACCGATTCCACGCCGCACATTTATCTTTTGAATAAGGACCGCAAGGGTAAAGAATAACTTCAAGTGAAAACACATCACCACACAACACATTACATTTACACGGGGAAATTATTTTCCTGGGGGTAAATCGAGGTGCCTGCGTAACTGTTGAAGCAGTAAAATAATTCCATCGATCTTCAGAGAAAAACTAAGTAACTGAAAATTATCAAATTTCGATTTGAGTTTTCATGAATACATTTTTTATAATTAGGAATCAAAAAGGAGCAGTAAAAAAAACTTCTCATTATCACGAAACTAGCAGACAGTTTCTGTTTCAGTCAGAATTCAATTCCCTTTAAAAATGTAACTGAATTCAACTTCAATTATAAAATGTAACTAAGTGCAGCACAAGTACAATTGTAATTGATTTATTTCGAGCATCAACATATAGCTGGTATTCTGATTATGCTTGAATGAACAAAACTAGCACAGGCTATTCCGATGAACACAGTTCTGTTCTTATGCAGGATATATAGGATCCTCTATTGCATAACAAGATGGTATGTCCATTTAGTATCGTATGGTACGTTATATGGTATCAATAAGCGTGCAGTTCGAATGGTAGAAGGAGGTATGGTAATTTGTAGGACCAAAACAGTAGTTGCGTAATAAATGATATTAGTACATGTCTGTATGTAGTGTATGTATTCGTCTTAGTTTCGATCGTGTGATTATCTAGTCTTGTTCCTCTCTTTTTACAGCTCAATACTGTTTCACTTTCTGAGGCAAAGTATGGTGGATATTTATCCGTGAGGTTAAACTATAAAATTACCGCAAAAAATCCAACAGTTGTGAACATATATCTCTATTTGGGTCTGGGACGAACTTCAACCAACGGAATTTAAGCCGACGGAATTTCAAACCGAAGCGACAATAAGAACCGTTGAAAGAGATACCGAATCACACCACTAAAACATTTGCTGCAATAAAAACACACCATGTATTTAAATTCAACCATTTTTTTGGACATATGATTTCGATGACCATGTTTTCGCAAAATATTTTGGCTTGAATTCGCGTCGGCTTGATGTCCTTCGCCCTCGGCTATCTTTATCTTATATATCTGCATGCCCATTATTTCGTCTATGGTTTTAACGTGTTGGTCACACAATACGTGTGTATCAACTGAAGGAAGACGTGACTATTTATGTGAAAGTAATGTTAAGACTAGTAGCGTAAGTACATGTATTGTGTGTATGGTAAGAATAAAGAGATCAGAGGGATAGAAACTTAAGGGTTAGTCTTACGTTAGCCCACTAGGGACGAAACTTTTCGTCCAGTTTCACAAATGGTTCGAATAGACGACGCTAAACTGTATATAACTACACAAGTAAATAAAACTAAAACTCCAGCCAATTTCAACAAAAAAAATGAAACTTTCCTGGATAAAAGATGAATTCATAACTGTTTAGTGGTAATTTAGACTTTTAAACTCAAAACATAGCCTTTGAATCCAATTCCAGTTGAAACAAGAAAAATATAACATCCATAAATAGTCGAACAAAGCTTTTGAGAGCAAAAAAAATTCGGAAACAGCAAAATTATTACAAATTATCACTAAATAGTAAAATATGGCCATGAGAACAAAACATGAAGTTTTACCAAGAACCGAACTAAAAAAAACGAAAAAATAAAAAAGCAATATTTTATAACTTCACATATTTAGCGACATTAAGACAGCAAATGCTTGAAAAAGCTAAAGATGAAAAGCCTCAAAAACGCAAAAAACGTCATCTTTACATAACTACAAATTAAAGAAAATCTTCACTTTTGGCGAATCGATCAATTCGGTTGTCAGAATCGTCGACTCAATGGTGGCATTAGGAAAAAATTACCAATTCGTAGCAAGAATTCCTTCATTATTCAAATAGTCACGTGCAAATACTTTCACTACATGTTAGTCTAGTTGATTGTGAAAGAGCGTCTATTTGTTTTACACTTTCATTCCCTCCCGTCTACTTTTGTAGTAAACTTCAGGAATCGGTAGACAAAAGAACAGTTCAATATTCGAGGGAAAAGAGTATACAGGAATATCCTCTCCTTACTTTCGCCATTCTTCCACATAACACAAGGCTCTCAAGCCATGCGATCAGCGCTACAAATTTGTTCAACCTTTCCACATATAGGTAAAAAAACATCGTCAGCACAGCTAGAAAAATGTCAATGAACTCAAGCAAAAGAAAAAACGACTGATTATTTTTGAAGTATTTTCAAAGCAAAAACTAGGCTCATCATTTTTTAGATTTTCAACATTTCAGGATTGACACTTTGAAACTCAACGTCATTCAAGTTCCGCATTTCGCGCTCAATCCACTGTCGCTATTGGAGATAGTAATTTGCCTTCTTTAAAAAAACACAACCTAATTATATGTACTCACTTCGCTCAAGGACACACAGTAACAACTCAGGATGTTCCTAATACTTCCAAAAAAAAGACATTCTTTGTATTTTCTAAGCAACGTGAAGGCGCAAAAGTCCAGCTTCTAAAGCTTTATGAAAATGGAAACAATTTTGTCATCACGCTTTTTTGGGCCTTAGGTTCATGTGGCTTTTTTGTCATTAGGCTCATCTGGCTTTTCGGGATCCGATAAGCTTTTACACAACTTTCGTTGCAGTCCTGAGCCGAAAGCCAAGCAGCGTTTTATTGAAAGAAAAGACATGAAAAAATTCCGAAAAACGAAAGCCTGGCCAACAGAAAGGTGGAAAAGAATCAATGAACGCAAGTAACCTCTTCGAGAAACACTTATTATTGACACTTGTTTTTTAAGAGTAACTCATTTTGAAAAAACTGAATCAATAGGTAAAGTTTTTCCTGCGCTGGGAAATCTGAAAACAAAAATTCATTCCGATTTTTGAAGAGGAAAAAATTTTTCGAGACTTTTACACTTCTGCAGTTCGATAGTTGAGCTTGCTTTGCTTTTACCAAGAAATGAACAGAACTTAAAAACAAATCAAGTGTCAAACCGCGAAAAATAAAACTTGAGCGTGAACACGTTAAGGCTAACTTTAACACATTAAGACTTAAAAAAACAAGAATCGAACAAAAGACTTAAAAAAAACAAGAATCGAACAAAAACAAACAAAAGAAACATCACGATCCATATAAAATTTGTAACTAGGTTCATCGACACTTGATAAAAATAAAGATCACACTTAACTCTGAAATCTCAACTTGAACACTCTAGAAGTGTGATCCAATCTATTACAGATAATATTGTAATAGTCTAGCTTAGAAGATGAGACAAAAAACTGTTAAGCCGAAACAAACATTCGCTTCGTTGGAATTTTGAGGTCGAAACACTGCAATCATTGTCTCAAACCAAGACCTAAAAACAAGAATAGCCGGTTGCTGTGCAACTAGGACAGAATATTCCGACCACATTCTCAGAAAAAAAAATTGTTCTTCTTCAAATTAGTGTGTTTTGGTATATATCTTGTGCTGATAGAACCATACAAACGCGTAGCAATTATGTGATTTAGGCAAAAACGACTAAAATTGCCTTCAATAAGGAAATTCAGATTCTCGGTAGTTTTTTTTGACAGAGCAGCGCTAAATAATGTTCACAAAACTAATTTTCCTTTTAGTAAAATCAAGCAATTTTTAGCCTTCAATGGTAATTTTCATATATAATTAACGTTACTCGATCGCTTTAATTGATCGAAAGTAGACGAGAATCAAAAAACTCAAACCGGTTTTTATCGACACTGTGAGAATTTTTTGGAATTTTTTAACGTCGTTCGTTCGAATCTGGACTGAATGGGCTTTAATATGATATCACTAAACCCAGTTCGATGATTATTTGTGGTAATTGATTTTGTGTGGAAAACACAAAAAGAGAAAAACTAAAACACACCCGAATTCAATGTTCCTTTCCATTTTCAATAGTCGGAACAACAAGGATAGCCGGTTACTGTGCAAGTAGCGCAGAATGTTCCGTCTTAAAAACGCAAATGAAGTTTTTTCTCAAGCTTAGGCATATTCAACAGTCAGAATAAAAAAGGCAAATTGAAATACAGTTTGTGTAGAAAATGAAAAAAATCATGAAATTTTTTTAATCAAAAAAGAATATTGAAATCACGTAGACAAATATTAGGTATAAAATTGAGCGTCATCAATTTCGTTTAGTGTCGCAAACTTCGCAACGTAATGATGTGATCATTTAAACACATGTTCAATTTTTTTTTTGAAAAATTAAGTTGAAAACTTACTTGAAATATTTGGAAAATTGTAAAAGACAGCTACAAAAACTTCATGAATGGGGTCAAAACCTGTTTGAGCCGAAAAAAAAACTGTTGACATCAAAAATTTCATAATAAAACCCTATCAGATAAGAAATAGCGCTTCAAAAAAACGGAAAACGAACCGACAGAAACTAGGATGAAAACCACAAAACCCCCCGAAAAAATTACAACCTGATGCGGGCTTTACCGAATTACTATTCAACTGTAGTTTTATTTGAATTTTCAAGAAATTGAGCATGTCAGGCATCCAGGAGATGAAATGAATCCTGTGAACAATGATGTTTACGAGAAAAAAGTCTTCTTGTCTCCGATTGCAAAAAATTCAGACCGCTTTTTCCCAGAACTTTGTTTTGTGGAATCCAAATGGGCTCTCAAAGGGCATCAATATGATATCAGACTTGCCTCCTATGACCTTTACCAGCGAAAATAAAATCAAACATAAATTAGCCAAGTGTATTAATTTTAATATTCACTTAAATATATACAAAAGATCTTAACGTACAATGCTGAGAGTATCCGCCGCCCCTCTGTTGGGCATTGTTGTTGTTAGGGGGTCCTCCGCCCGACTGCTGCTGGAATGCATCACCCCCTCCAGGGTATCCAGTGGATCCAGAGTGAAGAGACTGGTTCGAATCCGACCCTTTCCTGGGTCCACCAACCATGCTGAAACAACCACTCGGAGTTTAAACACAAGCATGCTGATCAGTTCTGATCACGTTCATATGTTCCCTGATTTTCTATGTTTATAAAAAATAAGGTGAAAACTTTTCTGCTTTTTTCAGTTCATATTCCTTCTATTTCTTTAATCGAAACTAAAACTTCGCTAGAGGAGTCTATGTAGAAATGAATTTTGCGTGAGAAAAGGAGGTACCTAAAGTAAGATATGCAGAGAACATAACTTATTTTTTTTGCGGGAAAATGCGCTGCTAAGAAGAAGACGATTTTTAACGACTGGTTGAAGCTTGCAGAATTTGAATGGATTGAACACTCGAATGAAACAGAAAAAAACCACCTTATTAGTTTGAAGAAAGGTAGAAAAAATAATTTCTTCATGACGATGATTGATACTGATAATGCTACAAAACTTAAAAAATCGAAAACGCACCTGTTTCGGGAGGATCCATTACCTCCGGGGGCCATCATGATAGGATCAGAGGGGGTAGGGGCGAATGCATTGAATATGGAGTCGGTGAACACTCCCCCAATGCCTGTGTTCATAGTTGTGATGCCATTGTTGTTTGTAGTGACTGCCCCGAATATACTACCAGCACCGCCACCACCACCACCGATACTTCCGTGTATACTGCTATTCGATACAAAAATGATAGATGGGTCCCTTTCAACTAATTTAATGTATCAAAAGTAACTAAAAAGGCAGAATTTCCGGAACCGGAAAATCTAACTGAAGCAAAGCTTGAAAAAAATTAAGACTCACTAAAACTAATATTTTTTCGGTAGCAACAAAATGCCGAATCAAAAACAGCACAATTTTCGTTCATTAACACATAAAACAATGCAATTTGATTCTTGGGCCAATATAATTTCGTTTTACAACTACTTTGAAATCTTCTCAGAATGAAATTGCTTGAGTTTTAGGGTCCATCTGTCATATTTATACCCGTCATTCAAGCCCCCTCCTCCCCTCTCCCCCATCCCACTAGGGGGTAAGTGGGAGTGCATGTCGCCTCTGTTGTTTCCATTCCCGTTGCCAGATCCGTTGTTGCCGGGGGCGAAAAAAGAAGGCGTATATATAGGTGGATATGACATGTTTCCTGATTCGAATAAATTATTAACTCTACTTCTTTTCCAACTAATAAATTAATTCGCAATACAAATCAAAACAAATAATATTAAACTTTTTAGATACCAAATTAAAAATAACTTCGATATGATGCAGAGTTTCTGTAGGTCCTTAAATTATTGTGAATAATAAAGGAACTATTTTGTATCTTGCAGAAATCAGTCTGAACTTAATCAATTTAGAATCTGTTTAAAATTCAGATTATATCTGTGGTTGGATGTAGTTTTCCTGTCTTTCGTTGTTAAGTGCTAGAAGATGGTGGTGAAATTTGTTCAGAATTGGATTTGAAAATCCAACTCTCTCAGAGAAAAGGATTGCTTGTTAATATTTGAGATGGTACTACAGGCTAAGCATAATCATCTCTGAAAACAAAACTGGGGTTAGTATTGGCACACACAAAAAATAATCATTTTAAAACACTTGTGCGCTTTCAAATTCCGACAAACAAATGGTTTTTAATTATTTGCAAAGAACTGAATTTACAATGCTTTACCTAAAAACTACCACCAATTAATCGCACCGGAAAGCAAAACTTAAATGATTTACAAAAATTAATAACAAAAATTATGACGATGATGCTCTACTGTTTGTACGTCTGACCGAAGGAACGGCTTAATTTCATCTTCTGTTCGCTACTTTTTTCTCCGTCATACAACTACTTGTGAATCAGTTTCATCTGAATAGCTGAAATTGTTTCACAAATTCGGATACTTCTGGCTTCCCAATGGGTCGGATGGCCAAACACGTTGGGTAATTCTCGGGCTGTTCGATCCACAGTTTGTGAGCTATGTCCTAGACAAATTCTGAACTTTTGTTTTGACAGCTGAACAGTTACATTAAAAAAGATAGCAGACAATTAGATCCTACAGACGATTATCGGAGAACATTATATGGTAGGTGTATTTACTATTGTGGTGGGCGTTTCAAAAAATTGTCAACAATTTCGTAGAGCTTTTTTGAAAGTTGACTGGATGGTTTTCCGAGCTCACAAAAACACCAGAAATGTTTAGACTAAAATTAGCAGATAAAACTAACAGCACTTATATCTACAGTTGTTCGAAATGTCTTTTAATATTTCCAAGAATATTTTGCATGAAGACCTAGCGAGTTTGCGACATTATTTGACGATGAAACTGCTCCAAACCCAAGTTAGTCTTTCAGGAATAAATCAATACCGATAATCATGGAGGCTTTTCCCATGACAGAACGAACAATTTATAGACTCAACAAAATGCTTCAAATCAAACTCTCTAAAATTCTGACCAACCTATTACGTCATTTTTAAAATAGATTTTGACTACAGAATTCTTAACTTTCGTGTAGTGTAACTCTCGGTTATTTGTATATTCTTGCATGAGTTCCTCAGCCTTTTTTCTTCAAAAATTGATTTTGTCTTCCATAAATTAATCGACACCATTGAACTCTACTGACCTTTGAGGTCAAAGTGTCACTCAGCTGAGAGAGCTCATCACTTGTTTTGCTCTTCAACACCACCTTGTGCATGTTGTCCAAATCACTCAAGTACTGCTGCGTGTCTGCATTGGATTCATTAACAATTACTAGGGTTGTCACCAATTGGAAAATGTTTACCCTATTTAACCTCAAAAGAGGGCCGCCACTGATTAAAAAAAACGCCGTAAAAACTGACGGGCAATTCTTGATGAATTAAATTTTCACGCACGTAAAACTCAAGTGTCAAATGTTGCAAAACTCATTTTTCCTTCAATAATAATACAAACTTGTCCTTGTTTCTTAAGTTTCGGTATTTTTATGCCAGTAGTTCCAGCGTGTTCTACGACATAATTCAGTGAGCCCAACTTTCTTTCATCTCGAACGACAAAAAACACGTCTAATTATTATTGTGGCATATATTAGTTTGACTCAATATGATAACAAAAGTAAGTGTTACATAGCTCACTTGCCGGGAGTGGGTGAAGGGGGGTTAGAGGGTAGGAGAAAGGAGCAAAAAAAAAAAACAATTTTGTTATATTTAAAAATTACTGACAACCCTGGATGCGAGTATGTAAGATGTATGATAGCTGAGGAAGCGTGACATGCTTGTGCAACTAGAGCTCCTGCCAAGGATCGAAAGCTTCAGCCGTTGATTTGCTTGGGAACTTTTTAAAACGACTTTTTAGAATAATTGAATGTATGAGTGTTGCGAGATAATAATAAATAAGACGATAAACAAGATAAATAAAACGCCAGTTTCTAAGCCCCGCAAAAGCACAACACATTTTTGTCTTATTGTTCATACGTAACATATTCGAAAAACATATTCGTAACATAACCGAACTTCAGAAAAAATCAAAGGGTGAACTGGAAAAGAGCCGGCATAGTCTGTCATGATTTTAGCTTCGGAACCTCGAAATGCCAAGCAGCTTTAAGAATAGAGTTCGCAGCGCTATCAGTCTAACCCAAAAAAAAAACACAAAAAAGACCATTTGACGAGTTTTAAATAGATTCCTGCAGACCCAACTTATTTACAACATTAAACATTTTAATCGAAAATATTTGACAAATCTTTCTGACGGCGTCGTTCTATTTTTCCGACCAATGACTACTAGGAAAAAATCTGTCTTTGGGCTGAACCCGGATGATAGTCTAATTCTTATAATCCATATTACGTAGTCATAATTAAATTTTACAACAGTTATATTAGTTTTCGAAGTTTCTTATAGCTATTTCTTCGGATAATTTTTTCAAATCAAAATATTTTCAGCAAAAAAATAGGCTTCTTGCGTTCTTTCATCTGTGCTACGGTGGCTAGACAATCGGGAAACATTGCCGACAAAATCGCAGAAAACTGATACTATGAAATTTCCAAATTTTTGAGTTTTAGACTAACTTCGAGCGAGTAAAGCGAGAGAGCAATCTTAACACTTGCGAAAACACGAAAAAAAAGCAGCTCTATCAAGTTTAATAAGAAAAAGTAGATATAAGCCTTAAATTAACAAAAACTCGGCTACGTATAGGATTCGAATCTGCGCCCTATGGCAATCAAAATATTTTGAGTCTCACGCACTATCCTCTCAGCCACTCAAGCTTAACAACCGACAAACACTAAAAACGAATAAAGCAGCTACATATGCTAACAAATTGCCAATGTGATTCAGCACCAAATACAAATACTCAGTTTTGCAAAAAATATTTTGAAATAAAACAAACTGAAGGCATCCACACTAACTTTGCATATAACAAATCGCAAAGCATAGAGCCACATTATATATAAACTATGCATTTGAAAAAATTGCGCGATATATTGAGTTAGAAAATTTCTGAAATCGAATTTTTATCATTGTGATATTGTTTGAAACGAATAGCTTTTTTCGGTTCATTTGATGAATTAGAAATGCATCAACGGTGTTAATTTGATACTATTCGAATGTCAAAGGACATCCTATCAAAAAGCTGTAGAGGTGCCTCACCATTTTTGGGGTGCCGCAAAATAAAAATTCCTCACCAATATTTGAGACTTAGATTGGAAAAAAAAGAAAGTTCGTACTAATACACTAGCTCGCAAGTGTAAAATGTAAGTTTATGATAGTATAATTTTTTAGCATTTTTAGCATTCACAGCTAAATTTAACACCAGTTATATCAGTTTTTGAAGTTTCTTTTACCGCTTTCTTCTGATAATTTTTTTAATCAAAAAATTTTTTTTAAAATTTTTTTCGACTTTTTAAAACATTTTTTTTCACGAAAACTGTAGAATATGCCTGACCTATTTTTCCTAGGTTCTAGGCTTTCTTACAGATCGTAACATCACAGCACGTAAAAAACGGGACGCAACTTTTTTCTGGAAAAAACCTTTGTTTTTTTTTGTGGTCAGAACTTCCTGTGTTACTTGCACAGCAACCAGCTATCACTGTTTTTATGATTGTTTTCTTTTTATTTCTATCAAAATCAAGTACCTTTAACACAGACGCAAAATAAAAATTCCTCACCAATATTTGAGACTTAGATTGGAAAAAAAGAAAGTTCGTACTAATACACTAGCTCGCAAGTGTAAAATGTAAGTTTATGATAGTATAATTTTTTAGCATTTTTAGCATTCACAGCTAAATTTAACACCAGTTATATCAGTTTTTGAAGTTTCTTTTACCGCTTTCTTCTGATAATTTTTTTAATCAAAAAATTTTTTTTAAAATTTTTTTCGACTTTTTAAAACATTTTTTTTCACGAAAACTGTAGAATATGCCTGACCTATTTTTCCTAGGTTCTAGGCTTTCTTACAGATCGTAACATCACAGCACGTAAAAAACGGGACGCAACTTTTTTCTGGAAAAAACCTTTGTTTTTTTTTTGTGGTCAGAACTTCCTGTGTTACTTGCACAGCAACCAGCTATCACTGTTTTTATGATTGTTTTCTTTTTATTTCTATCAAAATCAAGTACCTTTAACACAGACGCGAAGCTGCACTTCGCAAACACAAGCGAGGACCTCCGACCTGTATATTAAGCGTCTCTCGTACTTCCATCTAAGTCATGATTGATTTACAACAGGGAAAAATTACCCAAAAAATCGCAGAATAGAATGCTGAACAGAGAAAATAATTCTAGAAGTCAAAAAGTTCCAAATTTTTGAGTTTTAGAATAATTTTGAGCACGTAAAGCGAGAAAGAAGACTTTATACAAAAAACTCATTAGGAAAATTAGTTTTGGAATCTCAAAACTCAAAAAACAATTTTCTGCAAATGTAAAGTAAAAAATGAAAAATTTGTATATTTTTTCATTTTTGCTCATTTTTTTCATTTATTCATTTTTGCCTAATTCATTAAAAAGCTATGCGTTCGTATAGTTCTCTCATCACACCACGCAAAAAAACGTCATTAAATTGAAAAAAACTCAGCAATGAGGTCGCAACACGGGTTCTTTTCTGCTATACGGCCCAAACCTGATCTTTTATCATAATTTGAAAATTGGATCATAACGCTCGAGACTAATTTGTTAAAATTAATTCCAGCGAAGAAATTCTAGATTTTTTTGAAAGTCAAACAAATAGCCAGCAGACAGTATAAAAGCGTCAGGAAGGAGTCAATGAACGTAAGAAAACAACAAAAACGGACTTTTTTTGGAAAAAACTTCGACTTTCGAATTTTCAATTAAAAAATACACGGCCATAAAACTGTTTGAATGTCAAGAATTCATACAAAGAAATCAAAAGCCAAATGGCCAAAAAAAATCATCAAGATCTACATAAGAATCTTCACGACTTCATTGTCTCTTAAACAGAAGCTCAATTAAAAATTCTATTAGATTTGTTTGGGTCGTCTAACAGAATACACCCAGCACATTCTGTGATACTTTCTACATAAATTTTTTAATCAACGACTGTTTAGTGCCTTTGGGCCATTTCAAGTCTCCCCGAATCACAATGTACTGCACTAGATTTCCACCCCCACCATCACCATTTGCACTTTCAATTTCACTCATAATGGTCAGTAATCTCTTTCTGATATTTGAACCACAGTGATTACAATTGATATATTGGGACTTCTTGAGAAACCAGGATGTCTGGAAGACACACTTTCTAAAAATCAAGACATGCTTTCATCTGAAACTAACATTATCATCAAGGCAATAACGCGTTTGGTATTTTGACATTATCGAACTAATTTGATACCATACCAACATCATTTGTGTCTTACGTCGAAAAATAGAGTCGAAACACTTGGCCGTGAAATATGCACGTTATTTTCTATGATTCCTTATCTAGGGCCATTATATATAATCCATTGGCTCTTTTTCCTTCCCCCCCCCACCTGCAAATTTTTATCAGTAAAAATTATGTTCACTTTGTTCAATTGTTATGAAAATTGACATACGGACTAATTAGGTTATGACAAACAAATTTGGTCTTCATAATTAACCTTGTAATACCACCCGTTACACCATAAAATTCATGTTCGTGTGAGGTGGGGGGAAAAGGAAAAAGAGCCAATCCATTTAACTATCAGACGCAGCAAAAACACCAAAATGGAAATAGTCGCGGTATTAACTTTTGTTTATTTACATAGTTGGAATCTCATGATTTCATTTTTGGTACCACTATAGCAACGAGGTTGTTTTGTTGTCAATTATGTTTCACTCGTAATCAAGCAGTCATGGCCGAGTGGTTAAGGCGTCTGACTCGAAATCAGATGGGATCTTCCCGCGTAGGTTCGAATCCTGCTGACTGCGCTAATCTTTTGGATTGGTGAACGTCATTCAGTTTTATCGTGGTCCTGACTATGCCAAAAGTGCTTTATTAAATACAATTTAGCTATCGGTGTTTTCGCATCGATGTGCGGCTTTTATGGCTTTCTCTTTGGCGAATGCTTTCGAAAGCAAAATTAAATCAACAATAGTTGGTGATTAATTGGTTCTATATAGATAAATTGCGGCTGTCCAAAATAATTTTGCACTAATGGCAATGGCTGTTGCACTAATGGCAACGCAGTCAGCAGGATTCGAACCTACGCGGGAAGATCCCATCTGATTTCTAGTCAGACGCCTTAACCACTCGGCCATGACTGCCTGTTACCTACTTCCTCGCTATTTAATAGAAACAAACTGCTCAATTCTTTGCCAACTAATGTCTCTAGTTCACAAGTGTAATTTCTATTCTGTCCAACACAAGTTGTGAAATCGATTTCTGGCGTACCCAACTTAGCTGGCTAACAAAAAAGGACATGCCTTGAGAACGTTTGTTTGGTTCATTTGGATAGAAAATATAAATATCAACCAAAATAAAAAACAAATAAACGATGCAAAATGTAACGAATAAGAAGCTCAGCTCAGCACAAGAACTAGCGCCAAACTTACATTAGAGTCATCGTCAACAAAAAATCATAACAGAAGTCAAACATCAAGTTCGGACTATTTTCGAAGATACGAGCGAACAACAAACTGCAATTTAATTTGATAGTCGCAGCTTTCTGAATTCTGGCCATAGTTCGTCTTTCGTTTTTTTCTCAGCCTCACTTCTATAAATGACAGTCCCTCAAATATATGACCAACAATAACAATGCGTGTCTGCCAGACAGGAGCATGCAAACTCGTCTCCGCCCACTTCAGCTGCTGAATTGGATCAGACTTATGTAAGCAGGTGGGAAATTGCGCCTAAAGTCAGGGTAGAGGAATAGTCCATGGGATCCACATAGTAAATTCACTCCTTTCTCTCTCAGAGCAGATTCGAAACAACCTAGACAAATAAGCGCATCATAAATCAAGAAGATTACACTGTAATTAATTTAGAATACTTGGTTCCCAACATATTTTGCAGACGTAGCAAATTATAAAATCATAAGGTAAAATGAAACACAGAGGCGAAGTTGCAGTTCGCATACACAAGCAAAACGATGACCGATAACGCTAATGGGAAAAACTGAATGAGTCAATAAAAAATGTTTTAAGTGACGCACGCCAATTATGACGCATTAGCAGAACCAGTCAATTTGAAAAAAAAGAGAAACTTACCAAGTAGCATGCCTCAATTTATAGCGCCGACGCTTTTTAACTAGTGCAAGAAAATTTTCATTGAAAACATCCGACCCTGCCTAGGTTTGAACACTTTTATTTTGTTCCTTCCCTACCTCTGCGCTACAGATCCATGATACCTTGAAGGTAAAGTGCTATAAAAATAATAAATTGAATTTAAGAGAAAAACAACTCTAAGGGCCGACGGCCCATCAGTTAACAAGTCCGAGTCTGAAGTTGGTAGAGTTGATGCATGATGTACACCAACAGAGTATCGTCCACGTACAGCTGTTCCCATGTCTGAAAATTAAATTCCATTTTCGAAACTAGAAATTGATCACATGTTTCTTTCGGTGTTTGACAGTGCAATTTGCCTTCCTTTCAACAAAGGAAATGAACTTAACTTAATAAAAAATGGGTCAAACCCCGCAAAAGTAAATTAGAGCCTCAAGCCTGAACAAAGTTTGAGACTTTTCCTTAGAAAAAGAAAACAATCATCGCGACGTATATAAGAGTCTGAACTACGTCCATCGACTCTTAATAATTACATCACCACAATGGCGTAATAGCGAAAAAAAATCTAACAAATAATTGCTACCATGTATTTGAAAGAAAAGAGTCAATGACCGCACGGAAACAGAAAAGAAAAACTGACTTAATTGTTTTTGAAATACATTCAAATAAAAAATTTCAAATGATTAAATATATAGCTTTACAGTTCTTTGAATTTCGAGAACAATTTATGTTCGATAATTTTGGATATAACTTACTCAATTTGAGAAAACTGGATCGATAGGTTGAGTTTTAATTCCGCTCAAAAATCTGAAAATTTAATTCCACTTTCGAAACTAAAAATCGATCACATTTTTAGAGACGTTTACACTTCGTTACTGGAGAGCGCAACTTCACTTTTAGCAGATGAAATTGAATTGAATTCAAGTAGAGTATATATACCTAGAAGCATTCATAAAAGCATGAATATGTATGAATGATTTCTGTAAAAAAAATCGACTACTTTAACTTCTTGAAAAACCCAAAAAAATCATCACGACCTATAGACGAGTTTGAGTCGCTCGCTCATCGACTCTAAATAAATTCACAAATATTCAAGTATGCCCCAATGCGAATTACTGGCAACCTTTTATCGACTAATATAATGAGAATCACAATGCAAATGAGACAATGTGACAACAAGACAATGTGACATTAAGACAATGCGAGAACTCACTAATCCAAAACTACCTGAGCCTTCGTTGCCATTAATATTGTGACTAGAACAAACTCGCCAACACAATTGCCCGATGTAATTATTTATGAGAATAAATGGCTGAAAACTAAACAAAGACTGAATTGTTCTATTGGCTCAACTCAGTACCAAAATGTTCCAGTAATTCATCTTCCGTTTTCGACACGATACCATTGGATGAGAAAAAATCAAGCAAAACTTTCTCACTTACATAGCAATCATGTGTTTGAATCGCAGCTCGTCATTTTCGACTCTAGTTTTACATAACTTAAATAGTTTTACTGGATTTCTGGCAGGCTTAGCCTGCATACTTAGCCTAAAATTCGAAATCGAAGAGTCCCACAGAAAATCCGCATAACTGAAGCATTTTTAGCAATCTATCTTCGCACTTGAAAGTATTTGAGAGAAAAAATTTCCAAAATATTTTTTAGAGATATTCTCTGCTAAGGTAAGAAGCTCTTTGAAATTTTTTTGCACAATTATTAATTTCAAATGAAAAATTCGACGCTTGAAAAGTCAAGTACCCAAAAAACTTTTCGAGAAGGAAAGAGAAATTTTCGGGTTCAATTGTGTTGAGAGCGTATTCAAGAAACTAATTTGGCAAAAATGCTATCTTTTTTGGCAACATTTGCGCATTTTTCCCATGAAATTTTAACTTTTCCTCAGAAAGACCCACATAATTGATAAAAATTGCCCTAGGTCCGCAGCGCGTAATTTAACTACGTATGTTGTGTTACCATTATCTGACAGTTATGCAACATCATTTGCTAAACGCGGTTCAAAAGAAAGACGAAGCTTTCGGCTGGCTTATATACTGAGAAAGTAATCTTCCGCTGGTTTTTAAAGTCTGCTACTTTTTAACTTGTTTATACCCGGCTGTTTAAAATAGTCTTCCTATTTTTGGCTGATATATAATCGACTGGGCAATATATGCTGCTCATTTTCGGCCGGTTTATAATAATTATAATGTTCGTTTCTGCGATTCGCAGAGGATCTATGAAAGGTTTTGCAGCCTGTCTACGCATACTCTGTTTCTCTGAATTACCCAGATTCCAGACTGAGTTTTGTTGAGCGAAGCTCTTTTTTAGCGTTCTAGGCTGTTTTTTTTTAGTCTAGAACTTTATTCTCCAGCTGGATTTTTCACACTCTACTAACTTATATCTGCTATGTGACACTTGGGCCTCCGTCTGTAGTTCTGTGAACTATCAGTTGTAGATGCATTGTAGTGTTGTGTGGTGTTGAGTACAATCGGATCTGCGTGTGAGGGACAGACAGAGTGGAGCAAGTAGACTACTGAAGATCCTTCAGTTGCACTTAGAAGAGCCAGTCTTAGAAATCTAAACACATGGAACACCTTTGTAACAGAGCTTGTACCTTTCAACTCTTTCTGTTCAAAACGCCGTTTCACAAGTTAAATTTAGTTTACATTAAGCTGGCAACCGGTCATTGTAGTTGCTCACAAGGTGAGTGGCCTTTACTGATGAATACAAATATCGAGAAGTTAAGATAACAAGATATGAAATCGTGGCATGACAGTTCATAGTTCAGCAATGGAACATCATTCCTATTTCAAAGTTTTCGCCCCCGTCACACTCGCCCTCCTGGTCTAATCAGCTGCAAAATATCACAGACGATGTGCTCTTTGGCCAGCAAATTAAGAAAGTTGCATAGCTGTCAGGGAATCTGAATATCAAAGTCATCATCATGGGTTTGTTAAAAGAAACTATAAACGATGGCATTTAGGGTCAACTTAATTCTTTGGTTTTTTTCTGAAAATAACTTCAACTCTTAAATAGGTCTCCTTAACACAAGAGAAAGTAACTAACAGCATGTTTTCACAGGCGATGAAACCACAGTTCAAAAAACGCGAGACTCATCAACTCCTAAATCGATGTTAGGAAATCTGAAGCAAATATCGATGCCAAAATCACGCATAGCCAACTGTAAGACTTAAGAAATAAAACTTGGACGGAATCGAACCATTATCTTTCTATATATTAAATCTCAACTGCTGCATTCATCTCAAACTGGAAACGAAACACTAAGTGAGTAGGTGCTCTTTTTTACCGCTTCATCAATTACAATGGACATTATTATTATGTTTTTGTTCCTTGATTTTTTGGATTGCAACGTGTTGATTTCAGCAGCCAATTTTCAATACAGCCGGCAACACAAAAATTATTATTTCAAATAATTTTCTTCACTGGTTGCAGAAACGATAAAAGAGCTGAATTGTCCCTTACTGTTGTTGTCGTTGGGCTAGTGATGAAATGGCCTTGAAATTAGCAGAGTGGAATGGGTTGAGGGGTGAAACTTCATTCAACACACTCTTCTCGTTCAGACAGGGAACAGTCACCACCACTGCAATAAGACAAGAAAGACATTCGAGGAAAAAGCGAAAAAAAAAACAAAAAAACACCCTTGCTGATCGCTGTTAAAAAATGCACAAAAAGTTCGAACGACACTTACTGTTAAAAATAAATAAACGCTTATCTCGTTTTGAAAGATTTTTTTTTGTCTTTTGCTTCTGTATGGCGGATTATATCACTTCAACACATGTTGCAACGAGGATACTAATGCATTTAACAACGCTAAAAATAGTTAATTGCTCTACATTATACTGACACCACAAAAAAGGGTGTCAGGACTAATTGCCCGAAGTCAATTGGCCCTATGCCAACTTGTTCTATACTAACTTGCCCTACATGGCAACTTGTCCTATGCCAACGTGCCCCACATGAAATTTTGTCCTAAGCTGTTTTGTCCCATACTTAACTCTTTTACTTGATTCTTTGATGTTCGAATTGAGGACCAGCAATTGCTAATCACCACTTTTTTAATTTATAGCTATCGTACAGGGTCCAAATTTTGAGAGGTGATAAAGACCAATACTGCAATAACTTTGCTCTTTCCCTCACGCCGCCCCGTATTCTGGGTTATCCAGTATAGGGGAGTTTTAAGGACGAGGCAGCTAAATTTTTTTGACTTCTTCAAGTTTTGAACTCTTAACTTCTTGATTAAGAGTGTTGTGCACTATTAACTATGCTATAGAAGCTTACAAAATCAGCAATCAATCTTTTGAGATGTTTAATTCGACATAAAAAATGCATTGAAGTTTTGTCGCTTTCATTTTGTTCATGCATGCTTTGAACTCATTTTGATTCAGCCCATGTTTTAATGATTCCGCATTTTGTTTCAAGCTCAATTGTTCAACAAAAATATCTTTCATCTTTATGCCGACATTGTGCTCTAGAAGGATATCAAAGAATCCGGGGCAAGTTTCATTTTTTTATTATCCGGGACAAGATGGCATTGGACAAGTTGTCAACTGGGGCAAGTTGGAATCGGACAAGTTGGACTGGGACAAGTTGACTTGGGGCAAAGTGACATGTAAACAAAAAAAGTAACTCCAACGTATTCGAACGAGTTTCGTCGAAAAGAGGGAAACTCTCACCGGTTTATCTCGACACCGGAATATTTTTTGGAGAAACTTACATTCATATTAAACCAGGACTAAACATGTCTTATTAAAATATTCCTCTAATAGCAATCTGACATTTAATTTAGCTCGAGAAAAGAAAAAACGGAAAACAAATTTTCCTCACGCTAATTGTGATTGGTCGAAACAAGACAACCTCGCAAAATTGCAACCAGTTACAAAAACAAATTCAGATGTTTCAAAATGCTTCTGACCTTCTACAATGAGTTAGGTGTTATTTCGAACTAAAATCTTAAGCTTTAAAATCTTAAGCTTTAAGCCGACTTAAGCTTTAAACCCAGAATATAAACTACGATATTTTTTTTCACATTTCAACTGGTTCAAAGGACTGACCTTTAGAGAAGGCTTCTCGGAAAAGACCTGCTTCCGAGTAGTCGTAGTCGTCCAATTGTTTGAAGATCAAAGGAGACCGCAGTTCATTCAACTCATTAACACTTTTCAATCCCAGAGACCTAAAACAAACCATTTTTAAATTTTTCAATTTAACTCAATGGTCAGTAAACAGGCTCGTTTTTGTAAACTTTTTTTTGAAAATGGACCATATTAACGTTAGTTAAGTTGAGTTTCACAGGCGGTGTGGGCGAAGGTAAAAAAAATCCGCCCTTAACTTAATGTTATAAGTGATTTCTACTTTGTTTATGTATGGACCTCACTTGGATACAATTTATTAACCACGTGAGTGAACACTGACCTGGATACCATCTGCCGCCTGTCTTTCAAACTGCTCTCTGCACTGTCTGACACCAGTGCATTAAAGTGCACTTCCTCCTTCTCCTTCTCAGAGTGCACTAATTGTGAGAGGGACAAGAAGTGAGCATCTGCACTGTTGAGGTCGAGCAAGTTGTCATTCTACTGAAACAGATCAAGTATTATACACAGAGCAGTTAACAAGATAATGAGATGAACCGTACAAATTTGTATCCATTCAGTTAATCATATAAAATTCTGGGAATTTTCCCAAAAGAGCTCTTAACCGACTGAATAAGCGTTGAAAAACAAGCGTACCATTTTACTTAACTAATTGTTTAAAAAAACTCTCATTTAAGCAATCCAGAGGAAAAACCATTTCAGACATAAAATTTTGGCCTTAAGTAAGGCACCAAATCTTCAATTTTACGCTCTAGAGACTTTTACAGGGCTTGAATACTCAATTCAAATACTTCTAAAGGAAACAAACTCCCAAAATGTAAATTCCTAGCAATCTAAATGAAGCTCACTTCAAAATTGAAACTACCTGTGTTAGATTAAGCAGACTCAATGCAAATAGTTCCCCGTATGAAGTTTCAAACAAATCTTCTTTTGGCCTCTCGTTCAGTTCTGATTCTCTATTCTCATTGGCCACTTTGAACTCGGAATCAACCAATCCGCAAGCAGTGGCGAATTTTTTCAAGATCTGGAATTGAGTTTCTGTGTCAAGTTGCGAAGGCTTGTCAGACTTACTTGAAGTATTATCCACAACTGGAAACAAATAAACATTATTATATTTCTATACCTTTTTTTTTGTTTCAATAATTCATTTTTTCAAGAAAATTTTTTAATCCAGGCACAAGATTAACTTATTAAAAAAACGTCCTTGTTCAAAATATGATCAGAGAAAGAATTAAAACAATTGAGAAAAAATCAGTCAGAAAACAATTATTCATTTCGTATAATTTGATCTTATGGTTTCAAATGTGGCTCATTTAGCTTCGGGATTGCGAAAAAAGATTTTAACACAGAGGCGAAGCTTCGCAAACACTAGCGACAACACGACTAGCAGCTCTATAAAGTGCAATAAGAAAAAGTAGAAATATGCCTCGAATTGATAAAAAAGATCGGCTACGTGTCACATTCATCCTGCCACCTAGATATGAGTCTCACACACTTACCACTCAGCTACGGACGCTTAACTGCTCATGAACAATAGCCACAAATAAAGCAGAGAAGAGATGCTATGCAGTTTCCAATGCTACAGATTGTGATTATAGCGTAAGTGAAATAAGTGAACACTTTTTAATGAACACTTCAAATTGCGAGTTAAGTTAGAAAAAAAAGAAGTTTCGTACTAATACACTAACGCTTGTTAGTGTAAAAACAGGAAACTTTTTTTGGAAAACAGTATAATTTTACATCCTACTTTTCTGACGCGTTATCTGCTGTTCTTGTGACTGTGCGTCGAAGAATATACTCTCGTCATACATATCTCCACTGCGGGTAATTTCATCTTCCAATTTAGCCAGAGGGAAACTTGAAGTTCTTTTCCATGCTCTAGTGTGATCTTGTTCTGATAATTCGCTCTCAATTAGTGACTTTAAGCTGCGTTTCTTCATCTACAAAAATAGTTTTAAAAACTCAAGTTTTGTCAAGAATACGCATCTGAAAGAAAGGAAAAAACCTAAAGCTGCGAAGCTAATTTCAGTGCTGGTAATCGTGAGAAGGATCAGCTTGCTACAGCAAAAAAAAATTACTTAAGTTTTCAGCATTTCAAATAAAATGTGCAATAAAAACAAGCTTGCGCAAACATGGATAAATAAACAGCTACGCTTTTACGAAAGCGACACTAAAATAAACCTCCTCTGCGATTCGCAGGAGCGACGATTATTTATTTGTTTACAAAGATGCTAACGGGAGCTTCGCACCGCTCACGATACATATAAAAAAACATAGCATGGCAAGCTAGCGAACCAAACATCTGATCAAAGAAAAGACGGTTGCTGTGCAAGCAGTAAAGAATGTTCCGACCATAGTCTTAAAAAATACAGAGCAGTTTGTTTTCAAATTGGTGTCGTTTTTTGCGTGTTGTGATAAAAGGCTCTGAACGAAAAACTGGAAATGAGGCATATTTGAGAATAATAAAATAGGCGAACTGACCAACAGTTTTTGAAGAAAAGTGTTTAGAAAAACAGAAAAAAATAAAGAGTTCAAAAAAAGGACTGGAAAAACAAAAAATCGGCTTAACTTCAGGTGAATAGTATAAAAGTTTATGCTTTTATAAGCCTGCTCGATCAATTTTCGCTCAATTTTAGACTAAAAAATCAGAAATTTTAAACCTGTTTTTCTTGATACTGAGACAATTTTTTAAAAAATTCAATACCGTTCGCATCACAACTGAAAGGGCATTAATATGATATGTCACTTGACTGACTCATTCCGATGATTATTTGTGGTAGCTGATTTTGCGTAAAAAAAAAAGAAAAAACTAAAACACCCGAAGAAAGAGTTTAGAATGTTTGTGAATGTTTAGACTTCTAGTTATTAAAGTTCCAAATGAAAAATATCCGACAGTTGGAAAAGTGTCAATGAATGCAATTAGGCAGAAAAAAGGCAATTGTCTTGTTTTTTGAAAAACCTCAACATTCAATTTTCAAGAAAAAACAGATGCCCTTAATGGTCTTTGAACTTTAAAACATATTATGATCGGCACCTTTCCGTTCAAATTAAGCTAATTTGAGAAAACTGGATCAATTGTAAACTTTTTGATTTTGCTGGGAAACCTGAAAATTAAATTCCATTTTCGAAACTAGAAGTCGATCAAGCTTTTCCTGGCCTTTAAACTTTCGCTGTTCGATAGTGGAGTTTGCTTTCCTTTTAACTCAGGAAATGAACTCAACTTAAAAAGAAACCACAAGTCAAACCGCAAAAAAAGTATATTTGAGCCTGAACAAATTTTAAGAATTTTCCTTAAAAAAACTAAACAAAACAATCATCGGGACCTGTAAAAAGTCTGAAATACGTTCAGTCTCTTAAAAAGTACATATTTGCTTTTGGGAACCTAATTGATCAAAAATAGCATAAATAGATTCAAAATATACACAAAATTAAAGCTGCGCTTCACCAACTCAAAAAAAAATATCAATGAAAGGCCATGAAGAACATTGCATTATAAAAAAGCTAATAATTGAACAAAATTTCTGGCAAAAACGGGTCTGAGAAATTTCTCGAATTCGTGGAAACTTTAGAACGAGATCACGAAATTCGCGACAAATTGAAAAAACAAATTCTTAACTGCCGAATTCTTTGTTCCGACCAATAAAAACGAGGAACTTTGATTCGGGTGTTTTCGTTTTTCCTTTTCTTTGTTTTTCACGAAAAACAGGTACCACAAATATCATCGGAGTGGGTTGATTAATATGTCATATTAAAGCGCGTTCAGTCGTGATTCGAACATTTTAAAAAATTCCCAGGGTCGAGAAAAACCGGTTTGAGTAAAACGAGCGAGCAGGCTTATTTTTTTATTCGACAAAAAGCATTTAGCATATATAACACTGAGGCGAAATTGCGCTTCGCAAACACTTGCGAGCACATGACCAAAAAACACCTCTATCAAGTGAAATAGGGAAAACTTGAAATAAGCCTCAAATTAGCCAAAACTCAGCTACGTGTAGGATTCGAATCTGCTACCTACTGCGAAACTGAAGGCATCCACACAAATTTTGCAAGCATCAAATCGCAAAGCATAAAGCCACAGTTTGTATAAACTATGCTTTTCAAAACATTGCGAGATATAATTAGTTAGAAAATTTCGGAAATCTAGTTTTTATTATAGTTACATTGTATGAAACAAACGTCTGTTTTTTCGTTTCATTTGATGAATTAAAAGTGCATTAACTGTGTTAATTTATTACTATTCGAATGTCAAAGCACATGCTACCAAAAAGCTGTAAAAATGTCCTAAAAGTGGCACCAATATTTGCGATTTAGGTTGAAAAAAAAAGAAAGTTCGTACTAATACACTAGCTTCGCAAGTGTAATAATCGTAATGGGTGGAGTGATATACCATTTTAAAACCCTTTCAGCCTAAAGCGGAATTGAAACAATTTCAAAAAAGTTGTCCATCTCGAGAAAAACCGGTTAGAAATTTTTGAGTTTTCAGTAGAAATGAGCGAGCCGGCTTATTTTAAAAGGAAAGCCAATTAAAATCTATTTTCGCTCTAGTAAAATAATTTTCGAAGTTTTCAGCGCCATTTTTGGAATAAAAGTTTGCAAAATTTCACAAGAAAATTCTGCAAATGAAATGAAAACACTTTTTGTCAAAAAAGCCTAATTTCTGGGCTTTCGTCGCATCATTTTATCACACGACACTCATGCGAAAAAAACCCGGAAAAGCTTTTTTTAAAAGTTTTTCAAGAGTATGACCGAAACATTTTGTACTACCTGCACAGCAACCAGCTATATTTGTTCCTATTGCAATTGCCCATTAAGCTGAAACAATTGCGCGAGCATCCAAGACTTTTTCAGCAACTTAAAATAACTTCAAGCTTGAAAAAAAAAAATATATAACCTGTTCGAATTCGAGCTTCAACTGCGCAAAATTATTCTCTGAGTTGTTTGACACCTTTTCCTCTTCAATCCTCTGCTGATTCTTTTCTGTTAAAATAGCCCTATCTGTAATTCTGATTCCGCACTTCAACTCTGGCTGTTGAAGTGCACTTCTAATTCGTGCCCAGAGTTTAGGTCCGAAGAATCCTCCGTAGACTTTAGATAGAAAAACATCTGCATTGGCGAACAGAGTTTTCTCTAACCTTTTGAGCCTGTGAGTTTGGCCAGCAGTCATAGATCTAAAAAATGAGTTGTGATGCTCAGTTGGTTGATATATATTTTACTAACTATTTCTAAACCGATTCAGCGAGAATTTCAAGCCATTCAACGCTAAAGTAAGGACGATGTCCTGCTTCTGGAAATATTTCAATGTGCACTTTCAAATGGGTAAAACATTAATAAAACTAACAAAGAGTTGAAACTGAAAGAATAAAGTAATTTAATCAATCTCGTCTATGATAAGCTGAAAAGAAGTCTGAGTTATGAACTACAACGAAAAAAGTCAAAAGCCATTTTTTGATTTCTTAGAAGTCATATAAAAAGAACCGCAATACTCGCTGCAATTTTCCAACAATCGCCGAAATTTTCATGGTCAGTTAAATTCACTTGAACTTTATTTCATTTAACATTGGCGAACTTTTTTCATCTGCAGTTCAAAATTTAACAGGAAAAGTTTTTCTGATTATCTAAATAAGGCAAGAAAGGCTCTTGAAAGCACGAATAACCAAAGCATTATCAAACGATGACTGATTCATACTGAAATGGATCCATCTCTGAAGTCTGTCGTTCCAATCAGACAATTCAACAACGCCGACTTTCCTTCTTTCAAAGTTTGTTTGCACTCTTCCAAACTGCCTTCAATATTATCCTCTTGGTCTTTAAGCAGAACTCCTTTACCGCCTAAAGCTTCGACAACTTTCTCATACGATGAGAACTCAAGCATGCATCCTACATTGCTGCCCAGCATAGGTTTCTGTTCACGTGCAATTTGGGTCCAACACGCGTCATTACCGACGACTGAAAGAACCGGGATTTTGAATCTGCGATACGTATCATACTCAATTATAGAATACCCTAGAGAACCATCGCCGTATATGATCCAGATCTCAGCATTAGGGTTTGCAGCCTTGGCTCCTATGGCGAAACCAGCTCCCACTCCAAGGGTTCCGAAGGGTCCTGGATCCAGCCATTGGAGCGGACCCCTAGGGCGTAAAATATACGAAGCAGTGGCTACAAAGTCACCGCCATCTGCGACTATAATCGAGTTCTGACTCAATTTCTCCTCGACTTTGAACAAAACATGAAGTGGGTTCAAATATCTATCAACCTCCATTTTGCTCTTTTCGAGATGTTTGTCTTCCTTTTCCTTCTCTCGAGACTTTAGTTCGCTCGCCCAGCTTTCATCAGCTTTGTATCCGAGCAACGCCGCGTGTAACCTTCCAATGAAATTTGCCGAATCACCCACGATTCCTATGTCAGGTTTCCAGAACATATCACTGTTTAACTTCATCAAGTCTTTTCCTCTGTTGATTGAAATCACTTTCGCCTGTTTGCCTATAGATCGTCCGTAACTCAGTCTAAAATCACAAACAGTTCCAGCAAGTATGATCAAATCGGCCTCCTTTAGAACCTGAGATCTGTTTTGTCTGATATGAATTGGATTGTTACGTCCAAGAAGTCCACGGGCCATTCCGCTAAGAAAACACGGAGCTCCAAACGACTCAAGAGCTACTATCGTGTTTTGAAACGAACATGGCGGTATAATAGCTTGACTGCCTATAAGGAAAACTGGTTTCTTAGCTTGTGAAAGTAGTTTTGCCGATGCTTGGACTTGAGAATCTTTAGCTTTTGGAATGTCAATGTCTAAAGGTTCACAACTTCTCTCTTCGAAAGCACCAGCAAACAAGTCGTTCAAATAAATACTGAGATAGAAATTAACAATTTTTTGGACTATTCCTCTGGGTTTTTCCTTGACGCCTATTTCTTTGCTAATCATCGGGTACGGATAGAGAGTATCGATCGGCAGTTCAACAAAAACTGGGGCAGGAACCCCAGATTGTGCAATCTTGATGGCTTCTTTCAAGGTCGGTATAATATCTCGCACTTTATTAACAGACACGCAGTATTTACAGACTGGCTTGAACAACGACATTTGGTCAATGTCTTGAAGTGCGCCTCTTCCTTTCAGTATACTGGCGGCCGCTCCTCCAAGAAGCACAACTGGCGATTCTGCCATTTGAGCATTTTTTAAAGCAGTCACTACATTGGTTAAACCAGGTCCCGCAGTCACCGCAACAACGCCAATTCCTCGGCCAACTCTTGCGTAGGCATCGGCCGCAAATGCTGCGTTGACTTCATGTCGCGTGTCAATGACTTTAATTCCCAGTTCCTCGCAAGCAACAGCAATAGGTGAAATATGGCCTCCAGGTAGTGTAAAAATAGTATCAATATCGTGCGACTTCAGTACCTTTGCTACTAATGATCCACCATGTTTTGTGCTTGTGCGATCAGCTTTATGGAAAAGTTGGTACCAAAAATTGAATCTTTTGAGGAACATTAAAACTGAAACGCCGGCTGTTACAGTAGTTCCGATATAAAATATCGTCGTTACATCCATTAGTTTAACACAATCATGTTCAATAACTGAAACTTAATTGAAAATGGAAGAAACAATCAATTGATCAAATAAGAATTACCAAACGATTAAACAATGGTCCAAACTCAGGTCACACCAACCAATATATAAAAAAAAACCAATATATATAAAAAAAAAACACTTTAATTGCACATCGAAATTAATTTCAATACACAAGTGTATGTCAAATGTTTTCTGTTTTTTTTTCCTATCAGTTCACAAAAATATTATAACATCATTAGATACACATAGTTACAATAACAAGAAACAAAACAAACTCGATTACAATTATCGATGATTACTTTTCACCTGAGAGCTTCAAGATGGTTGGTAAATAAATGTTATTATTTAAACTTGAAGCTTTTCCATGAAACTTTACCATGAGTTGCCACAGAAGGGTCTTCTTTAAATAAAAATAAATAAAAATTTTTGAATTTTATCTGTGCTTTTCTGTATGTTACTATGTCTTTAAAGTTGACTTTATCATCTGTTAGTTTGTTCCAGATTATGACGGACTTTCTAAAGAAGGAATTTTCTATGTATTGCCCATTGTATCTGTCGCCGAAATATAATTTTTTGTTTCTTGTATTAATATCTATTTGGTGGTTATCATACTCAATGTTATAATAGGCTGGCAATAACTGATGTTGTATTTTCCAAAAGTGACATAATATTTTGTAGTCCAGAAACATTGTTACTGGTAATATATTGCGTTTTAGCTTCAAGTCTGAAGTTGAGTTGTATTTTGCACGATCGCAGCAAGTTTCTACTGCCCAGCTTAATTGTTTTTCCAGAGATATCATTAGGTTAGCGGATATTCCACTTAAAAGAATTGCTGGGTAATGCAAATGACTAATTACCAGTGCATGCATTATCAAGAGTCTTGTTTTCACTGGCAATGGCTTTTTGATTTCTTGAAGTGTTTTTATTCCGCATGCCATTTTCCTGAGAATATTTTTGATTTCATCTTGGAATGTGAGAAACTGATCTAAAACTACTCCTAGGTATTTAACATTGGTTTTTTCCTCAATTATTTTATCATCTAGAGTTATTTCATACTTTTCATTCTTTTTCCTTGAATGTTTTCTGCTGAAAACGATGAGTTCTGTTTTTTTTGCATTCAATTGAAGTGAGTGTTCTAAAAAATAATTTGACAATAGACTGCAATTGGCTTCGAGTGTTTTAATAGCTTTTTGTGGATTGTTATTTTCACAGAATAGTAATGAATCATCCGCATATTGAACTATTTTACATGTTTTGTCAATTTGTTTGTTGAATTCGTTAATGTAGAGATTGAATATTAGAGGGCCAAGGACAGTGCCCTGTGGGACACCCTGCTCAAGTGTAATCCAATAGGGTTCGGTGTTGTTAACAATTGTTTTCTGACTTCGATTGGTGATAAAGGAATTGATCATTTCTATAGCTTCTTCGGAAAAATTTAACTCTTTTAGTTTTTGTTTAAGATAAGTATGATCAATAGAATCAAATGCTTTAGAGAGATCCAGTGAGGAACATGCTACACTTTTGTTGTTGTCTATTGCTTTTCTGAATGCTTCAGTGCAAAAAAGAATAGCGTCGATTGTTGAATATGATGTTTTGAACCCAAAATGGGTATTACTTAGTAATTTTTGGGATATCAGATATTCGTTGATTTGTTTATTTAATTTTTCAAAAACTTATGAAAGAGCCACAGTTATAGAGATAGGCCTATAATTTTTTGGCAGTTCTGGATCTTCTTTTTTGTATATTGGTGTGACAATTGCTTTTTTGAGCTTGCAAGGATATGTCTTGTTTTTCAAAAACTCATTGTACAGAAATGTTAGATGTGTGTTTATTTCATTTCAGCCATCCTTCAGCGCCCAGGCTGGAATTTTGGATGGACCTGGTGCCTTTTGACAATTTAAATTATCTATTTCTTTTTTACATTCAGCTGATTTGATGAATCGGAATGAAAATTTATTATTATTTCGAATTGTGCATGTAGAAGTCGGTGGACTTTGCCTGATTTTTGAATTTTTCTCATAAAAAGCATCCAAGAGTTGAGAACTTGTAATTTAGCAGGTTCGCCATCTGTAAATTATTGGTTATGAAATCGCCGAAGGAGTTTCTAAGTAATAGAATGAGGTTGGAAGATTTTTTTGAGTTTCTTGTATCGTTTATTATACTCCATTTTTCGCGTTCGCTTTTTTCGAGTTAAACAGTTGGGAAATAAAATTATCATCTTCGTAGTTTACCTTTGGTTTGTCGTTGCGAATGAAAATAGTCTTCTGTGGGGCACATTCTTTAATGGTGTCAGCAATGTTAGATGTGAAGATGTCGAGCATTATTTCGTGATTATTATTGCTATAGAAACTTCTCCAATTTATAGCTGATAGTTTTTGTTTGAATTTGTAATTGGAGTAATTGGATTTGTCATATATTTTCCGTTCGATTGGTCTTACGTTGTTGTTCAGCTTAAGTTCTGTAATGAATGCTGTTGCTTGGTGTTCGGTCTTAATTGGTGGTGTGAATACTATTGAATTATTTGTTAGATCTTTTATGCCTAGGTCGGTGATAATATAGTCAATTAGTGCTTTTGAGTGAGTAGGTGTTAATTCATAGTGACGTCCAGATTATATGGTATTAGGATTGTATCTAAAGACTGTTTGTCGTCTTCGTTGAGATAGTTGAGATTGTAATCTCCTAGTAAAATTAGGTTTGAATTAAATGATTGTGCATGGTCAATTGATTTGGCTAGATCTTCTAAGAAGTCTGTTTTTTTGTTTCTATCATTTTTGTCGAGTCTGGCTTTAAATTCTATCCAGATGCTATCATACTTTTTGTGCATGTTGTTTAAGTCATGTCTTACTTTTGGGTTTAACTTTTTAGGAACCAGTAACATGACCCCTCCACCCTTCAATTTTTTACTTGATTCATAAGTTCTATCACATCGGAACAACTTATGTTTGTCATTGTCTATGGCCCATAGTTTATCATCATTTGTATCATTGAACCAAGTCTCGGAAAATCCGAAAATTGTATTATATTTAAAAGTTTTGATAAGTTGTTTGAGATCTGAACGCTTTCTAGCTAAGCTTCTGCAATTAAGATGTAGTACTTTTAAGTTGTTGTTGTAGTTTTCCAGTTTTTTCTTTATTTGTCTGAATTGCATGAATGGTCCTGGATTTGGGTGGATATCCCCTGATGTTAGGAGAGTTTTATGAAGGGACCTTTCTTGTTTTTTATAAGTCTTGCTTGCGTTTTTTATATAATAACTGTAATAGTAATAGCTTATATTATTAAGTATAGTGCAATAATGTTTGTTCGAGTATATTGTGGCAAGCCATGGAAAAATATAATTTCCTTTTCTTTTATTCAGTACCGCATGAGCTACGAAATGATCGCTTTCGCAGAAGCTGATGACAGATATGCTAGTTAAGGCAAAAAGTAACAGCATATCGCTTTGTAGAACAATTATAGTTAAAATTACAAATAACAGTCGTTTATCAAAAATATAGTCTTAACTAGCATTAATTAATAATGAAAACCTTGCGAGTAGTTATATGACTGCTGGCTAGGATTCAGAATATGGTTATAATTATTATCACAGCCCCATGAGTTGTTGTTGAAATTAATTTGACCAGTTTGTCGGCCATGACCAGTTTGTCGGCCATATGGGTGCATGCGATCGTTACTATAGGGTCTATTGGTAGACCTATAAACATTTTTATGTTGATAATTGGAAAGCAATTTTTGGTTGGAATTTGCTTTTGCAGTATAATCAGGGGCTGGTTTTACCCTCGGGAGTTTACTTAAGTGTTTGAACACGTATGAGCCGAAGCAATTGCGCAAAAATGGTATACCTAATTCATCGTTCAGGTGTATAGTGTCAAAATATAAACTCTGATAGCTCTCCAAGCTTTTGATGTTTGAGTTTAGATTTAGCACATCAAATCCCGTCGTCGAACCATACATTTCATTCAGAAAACGATTATAATGATCAATTTTGTCATTAGCATCATCATTGTTAAGTATCGGTGGTATTTCGCAAATAACAATCGATTCTGGTGAAAATTTCGAAGAGCGGTCTTGTTGTGGTCCAGAAAGGGTAGTAAAATCTTCCCAATACCCCTCCGAATTCTCGGGAACTGCTCCGCAATGATTGTAGCTGTACCTCCGCAATTCGGATAACCTCGGTTGTAATTTCAATATAGTTTGCTCTTTTTTACTTCGCTGTCGAGAATCTTTGTTGTTTCTACCAGCGAAAATCGCTCTTATGGTTTTCGCGCATTTTCACTTACTGCGAAATTTCAAGGTGACGTGTCTTTATTTCCGAACGAATTCTTGAAAATTACGTCGTCACTGCCAATTGACCTCTCCCAACTCGTCAAATTGAACAATTAACACAATTATTTCGTCGAAACTGCCAACTTTCTCATTCGGCTGCCGCTAATAAAATTTCGTTGTTGGCATGCATTTTGGCGACTGCCATATGTGTATACTTACAGGTGAGTCCTCTTTCTTCTGCATTTCAGTCCTTGTGGCCAATTATCGAACAGCTTGTCAACATAGGTGGAAATACATCTCCAACAAGACAATTTGTGGACCATATTGAACTTCAGATCACCGGAGAATGACAAATTAAGTGAGGGAAAAGTCAATTTTTTTTAGCAGACATGAATTTTTTTTTGTCTAAACTGAAGAAGCATGACGTGCATGGCGAAAAATTATGTGAAATTGAAGCGGCTGCCAAGGGCACACAAAAAAGTTACTCCAGACGTCGTGATATGGGAATTGAAAAAGCTACGAAATATCACCAAAACATCGAACAAGTGGCGGTACCTTTTGATACAGGACTTAGATTTTGCGTTTTGAAAAAACACACATATGAAGCAAAACTGACCTTAATGCAAGGATCAGAACAGTTTGAGAGACATGATAACATGAACGATTCAGTTGTTGAAAAAATTGAAAAAAAAAGTTGAACAAAGAACAAATGCCATGAACAAAAGGGATGATATTACAGATAGCTTATATGCGAGGTTGAGGTCAAATCGTGGTCAACATGCAAAACTTTATGAGCAACCCTGACAGTCATTT